TCCAACTCCTCCTTCCACATTTCCTTTGGAGCTGAAGCCCAGTCCTTCTCTTTCTCCTTGCAGGAGCAGGTGGCCTGGCTCCTGGCGTGGGTGGCCTGGTTCCTGGAGTAGGTGGCCTGGTTCCTGGAGTAGGTGGCCTGGTTCCTGGTGTTGGAGGTGTCCCAGGTGAGGAGGAGGAAGGCAAGGGTGAGAGCAGCCCTGCTGGTGTGGGGGCAGTTCTGGGGGCAGGACAGACTTGAGGAGAACCTCAGCAGTGTCCCTGGGGGGCTGCAGACAGGGCCTGAGGGATGGGCTCTGCCCAGGTTTGCTGTGAGACCTCCCCAGGGTCTGACCCCCCCTGCTGTCTCTGCCCAGGTGTTGGAGGTCCAGCAGCAGCAGCCAAAGCAGCAGCCAAGGCAGCCAAATTTGGTGAGTCAGCCTGGGGAGCCCCTCAGGCTCCCTACCAGCCCTGGTGTGGCTCTGACCCGTGCAGGGGATGCTGGGCACGGGCACCCAGGCCTGGCACATGATCCCACACAAGCACAGGATCTCTCACCCCTCTCTCTGCAGGTGCCGGGGTTGGAGGGGTGCCAGGGGTGGTGCCTGGCGTGGGCGGAGTGCCCGGAGTGGCACCCGGTGTTGGTGGCGTGCCCGGCTTGGTGCCAGGGGTGGGAGTACCTGGAACTGGCATCCTTCCCGGGGCAGGTATGTGCTGTGTCCCGCCCTGCCTGGGGACAGTGGTGGCTGGGAATGCTGAAAGCCACCCAGCCACATGAAGGGGTGGCAGGGAGGGATGCGGGTGGCATGGAGGGGAGGGTGGTGGCACATGAGACGGTGTGGGGGTGACTGTCCTAACCGTGGTGTCCTCACTCTCTTTGCAGGCATTCCCCAAGTAGGGGTGCAGCCTGGTGCTAAACCTCCCAAATTCGGTACGTACCCCTGTCCCCTGCCCCAGGGCCACCTCAGACTGTCCCTGGGCACCCTTCTCCTGCAGCCATTGGGGTGCTGACCTCTCTTCCTGCCCCCTGTGTGCCCACTTTGCCCCAATGGCCCAGGCATGGGAAGTGGTGTGCTGTCACCCATGGGTGCCAAGTGCCACCTGTACCCCCTGCCCTGGACTCGCTGAGGACAGTTTTCTCCTCCATGTGTCACACAGGGGCTGAAGCCCCTCTGGGTGCTGTGAGATGGGTGCTGGGGACCCCCAGCATGGGTGCCAGGGCCACCCCAGCAGGTTGGGCAGTGGCTGGGGGTGCTCCGAGCCGGGGCTGCCGGGCTGTGGGGGACAGGTGCTAACGGTGTCTCTCTGGCAGGTGTTCCTGGGGTTGGAGTCCCAGGGGTTGGTGGCCTCCCAGGTAAGTGCTGGCAGGAGCTGAGCCCAGGCAGTGGGGATGTGCGGGCAGAGGGATGCTCCCATCCAGGGGTGGAGCTGGAGGGATGCTCCCTCTGGGCTCGGAGGGAGCGGGGCTGCCCGAGAAAGGATGAGCACACTTGGGAGTGGCTGAGGAGTGGGTCAGACACTGGGGACACTGCCTGTACCTGCTGGTGCTCACCCGGGCTACTCCTTGTAGGTGGCCTTGGCGTCGGTGGGCTCGGAGTTGGTGGCCTCGGTGAGTGATGCTGGTCCCAGTGTGGGGCTCCAGGGCTGGGCTGCAGGGAGCAGCAGCAGCAACAGCGAGCTGGCAGAGCCATGAAAAGGAAAGGGAGTCACTTGTGGGTCACTTGTGTCCCCTCCCAGTCTCACAGCACAATCCCACCCTGCACTGTCACTGTCCCCTGTTGTGTTTGTCACGTGCCCTGTTCCCAGGGGATGATCCAAAGGGATTGCCATTGCTGAGCAGGGACTGAGGGCCACAGCCCCAGCCTTGCCCATGCCATGGGAACAGGGGATGGTACTTTACCCTGTCCCCAACGTGTGGAGATGCAGGTCCCTCCTGGGACCCTCTGGCCCCTCCTGAAGGGTCTGGGTGTGGCCCTGGGGCAGTGAGTCCGGGCAGGGGCTGCCCTGGTGCCCCCCTCTGACTTAGGACTCTTGTATCCAGGAGCTGCTGGGAAACCTCCCAAGCCAGGTAAGGGACAGCCAGAGGGGCTGGAGGAGTGACTCCAGTGCCTGTCCCCATCCACATTCCCATGGCTGTGCTCACGCTCCCCACCCTCACTGGGGCTCACCCACCTGCAGGTTTTGGTGCTGGGGGGCTGCAGCCAGGTGAGTGCTGCACTTTGGGGCTGGCCTGGGACTGTGTCCCCTATCCTGCCACACTCGTCCCCGCTTGCTGTCCCCGTGCTGCTGCCATTCCCTGCTGAGCACCAGCTGCCTGGGAGAGCACTGGGAAGCCAGAGATGTGCCAGGGTGGGGACGGCGGCTTTTGCATCAGCTCCTGTCCCTGGAGTGAGCACGGGATCCCAGCCAGGCTGTTCCCAGTGCACGCTAGAGTGGCACGGCTGTCACCGGCTGTCACTGGCTGTTGCTTTTTCCCCAGGCGTTGGAGGTCCCGGCTTCGGCGTATCACCGCTATTTCCAGGTACCACCCACCGCCAGCTCGGCACCGAGCGCACACCGGGGCCGTGTCCGTGCCTGGCCAGCTCGCGGGGACACGGCCACGGCCGGGGAGGGACCCCGGGGCTGGGCTCAGCCGGGGGGCTGCCCTGGGGGTGTGGGGCACAGAAATGGGGGTGTCCCGCGGTGCTGAGGGCTTCGCTCTCCTTTCAGGTGGGGTCGGCGGCCTGGGATTCGGCGGTGAGTATCCATTGCCCCGCGGCGCGTTTTGGGGTGGGGGCGCGTATCCCCGCGGGGGTCCCGCTCACCCTGCTCTGCCTTCCCGCTGCAGGGAAACCCCCCAAGCCCTACGGAGGAGCTCTGGGTGCCCTGGGCTTTAGAGGTGAGTGTGGTCCCCCACTCTAGGGGCCAGTTGTGTCCCCCGCGTCTGTCCCGTCCCTGCGGGGTGTCCCCCGTGTCGGTCCCATCCCTTTGGGGTGCCCCCCGTGTCTGTCCTATCCCTGCCCTCCGTGTCTGTCCCATCCCTTTGGGATGCCCCCATTTCGGTCCCATCCCTGCTCCCTGTCCCATCCCTGCCCCCCATCCCTGTCCCATCCCTTTGGGGTGCCCCCCGTGCCTGTCCCATTTCCTGTGGGGTGCTCCCTGTCCCATCCCTTTGGGGTGCTACTATGCCCGTCCCATCCCTTTGGGGTGCCCCCGTCCCTGTCCCATCCCTGCTCCCTGTCCCATCCCTGCCCCCCGTGCCGGTTCCATCCCTTTGGGGTGCCCCGTCCCTGCGGGCTGAGGCAGGCCTGACCCACATTCACCCCCATGGCAGGCGCGGGCTGCGCGGCAGGGAAGTACTGCGGGAGGAAGCGGAAGTAACGCTCCGTCACCGCTCACCTCATGAACTTTGGTGCTACTGCATGGTCCAGAATGTAAATCCGAAGCAAAGCTGAGACACCCTCTCCTCCAGCCCCGGAGCCCCCCGTCCATCCCGGGGCCGTTCCCCGGCAGCGCCCGGCCCCCCCCGGCCCTCGGTCCCGGCAGGGAGCGCGGAATAAACTGCGGGGAGCAGCCGTCCCCCTTGGTGCTATCGCTCTCTGCGGGATTTGGGGGCCCCAGAGCTGACCCCCGGGGGGGCACAGGATGAAGGGCACCCCACATTGGAGGAAGGGAGGGAGGGAGGGAGGGAGGGAAGGGGATGGCGGCGGCGGGGGCCGTGCGGGGAGGGACGGCCCCGTCAGCCTGGCCCCCACCCCGGTCCCCGCGCTGCCCCCGGTTTGGGGGGGCCGCGGGCAGGAGGGGCTCAGTCCCTTCACGTTGCTCACTTTGCTATAACTGGGTGGGACGCCCTATACAGAGGGACTCGCTTCTGACAGACTAATAAAGGACAAGTTTTTAAAGGATTCTGGCTCCAGCCTGTGTCCCACGTCCGTGACCCGTCCCCGTGGCGGTGGCAATGATGCAGGGGTTCACCCCAGCCCGTGGCACTGCACGAGCCTGGAAAGGTGCTGGGTTCTTGCTACAGGGCTGTTGCCTGTCCCACTGCATGGTAACAGCGCTGGGACACACGGGAGGGGCGGGGGGACAGCTTTGGCACGAGGGGTCGCGTCTGCCTTTTCCCACAGTGACAGCCCAGGGTCCCAGGGGCGGTCTGTGCCCTGGCCTGAGGTGCTGGGAACATCTCTGCCCTGTCCTAGTGTGCCAGCCTCGGAACCCATGAAAAGGTCTTTGCTCTGACTCACAGTGGGGGCCTGGGGGTGCAAGACAATTTCTTGTGCCCCGGTAACAGCTTGAGGACCAAGGAGGCTGTGCCTGCCCTTGGTGACAGCCCAGGGGGTGACATCCATGTGACATCCATGTGCCATCCCTGGGTAACACTGCAGGGAATGAAGGGGACATCCATAACCTGTCCTACAGTTACAAGCCCGGGATCCAGGATGAGGTCCATGCCCCTCACCATGGTGGGGGCCCGGGGATGCAGGGAGATGTCCGTGCTCCATCCCGCGGTGACAGCGCGGGAAATGAGAGAGACACCCATGTGATGCCCCACGGTGACATCCCAGAGCAAATTGGAACGCCTGTGCCCTGACCACAGTGACGGCCCGGGGCACGAGGGGACACCCGTGATGACCAGTAGTGGCTGTGGCGACACCTCTGCCCTGCACATGGGGCTGGCCTGGCGTAGCTGGAGACACCGCGGGGTGTGGGGACACCCGTGATGGCCAGGGGAGGGCGAGAGGACGGCGCCATCGCTCCGTGACCCGCGCATCCCCCCGGGCCCGATGGCGCAGCCCGAACCTCGGCCCCGACCGCGGCCATTCATCTCCGGTCCCTGCCGACCACGCCCACCGGTCACACCCACACTGGGGCCGCCCCGTGCTCCCGCGGCCCCGCCCCGCCCGGGCCGCGCAGGCGCGCTGCAGGCGCCGCGGTGCCGCCCGGAGCCGCAGCGGCAGCGGCAGGGCCGGGGGGGCCCGACCGGGGCTGCGCCCGCGCGGGGACCGCCACAGGCCCGGCCACCGCCTCCGCCTCAGGCCCGGCCACCGCCTCCGCCACAGCCCCGGCGCGGCGCGGCGCCGGCTGCGCGCCTGCATGAGGTTGATGCTGCTGTGCTGCACCTGGAGGGACGAGCCTATGGGAGAGGACGAAGGTGCGTGACCCCCCGAGCCCCCCCGGCTGACTCAGCGCTTCCGCCGCCGCTCGGGCCCCGGGACCCCCAGCCCGGCTCCTGCGGACCCTCCCGCCGGCCCGCGGCCCCCCGCATCCTGCCCGCATCCTGCCCGCAGCCCCCGGCCTCGCCACTGTCCCCGCAACCCTGCACCCTCCTCGGCATTTCCATCCCGCACCCCTGCACCCCAGCACGCCCCCTGCACCCTCACCCAGCCCGCATCACCCCTGCGTCCCGAAATGTCCCCGTGTACCCGCATCCCCCCCTGCATCCCCCACTGCATCCCTCTGGTCTGCATCTCCCTTGCGCCCCGACATTCCCTGTCCCCCCATCCAGCCTGCACCTTCCCCACAGCCCCCCTGCACCACCCTCCATCCCTGCATCCCCCTCTGGAGCGCCCGTCCCGCACCTTCCGTCCCCCGTGCCCCCCACACGTCCCCTGCGCTCCCCGGCCATCCCGCACGCCTCTTGCACCCGCAAATCACCCCCTGCCCCTCTCACTCATCCAGCTCACAGCACCCACTGCATCCTCCACTGCACCCCACCCTGCATCACTCCCCTGGCCTGCATCCCCCTGCACCCCATCCAGCCTGCATCCTCCCCACACCCCCGAATGTCCCCTGCAGCCCCTGTTCCCCCTGCATCCCCTCCGCACCCCCAGATCTTCCCTGTTCCACCAAGTGCAGACTCCATCCCCCCCATTCTTCCTTGTATTGCCACCCAACTGCATTCCCCCCTGCACCCCCAAATCTCCCCTATCCTCCTTGTCAAGAACTGTGCAGCCAGCCTGCATCCCTGCCTGCCCCGTCCCAGCACCCCACATCTCCTGCTGCACCCCTGTCCAGCCTGCATCCCCTCCTGCACCCCCACACCTCCCCATCTCCCCCTGCACACTCTGTGTGCCCCTCCTGTGCCCCCCATCCCCTCCAACCTGCATCCCTCCTGCACCCCCCAATCTTCCTGCATCCCTCCTGCACCCCCAGATCTCTGCTATGCCTTCCTTCCCCTCTGCACTCATATCTCCCCACACACCCCAAGAACTTGCACCCCCCTGCAGCCACTCTGCACCCCTCTGTGTGTCCCCCATTCATCACCCACTCTGCACCCCCTGTGTTCCCCCATGGGCTGTGCATGCCCCAGCACCCTCTGCACCCCTCTGTGCTCTCCTGCATCCCCCAGCACCCCTCCAGCATCCCCCTCTGTCCCCCCATTCATCCCCCAGCACCCCTCCACATCCCCCTCTGTCCCCCCATTCATCCCCCAGCACCCTTCCAGCATCCCTGTGTGTCCTTCTGCATCCTCCATCACCCACTCTGCACCCCTGTGTCCCCCATTGCACTGTGCCTGCCCACGTACCCATCCTGCACCCGTCTGTGTGTCCCCCATTCATCCCCCACTCTGCACCCCCTGTGTCCCCCCAGGACCCCCCAGCACTCATCCTGCTGTCCCCCCATGCACCCACCACCCATCCCACACCCCACCATCCACCCTGGCTGCCTTGGTGCACCCATCCTGCCCCTCTTCACCCTCCCTGCACTCTGTGCCCCCATCCCACCCCTCTGCCCCATCCTGCCCCCACCGTGTGCCCCCATCCCACCCTGCCCTGTTGCCAGCCCTGGGGCCGTGGGTGCCCCGACCTTGACCCGCTGGGGGATCGATGGGTGTGGGATGGAATTCTCCCCCGGGCACAGGGATTTCATCCCGGCTGCTGCTGCCGTGGGTGGCCGGGCGGGCTGGCCGGGTGACAGCGCTGTCCCCTGGTGTTCCCCGCCTGCAGGGAGCGACCTGCCGGTGTGTGCGAGCTGTGGGCAGGGCATCTACGATGGGCAGTACCTGCAGGCTCTGAAGGCTGACTGGCATGCCGACTGCTTCAGGTGGGACCCGCCGGGGACAGTGGCATGGCATCGGGGGCATCGGGATGGATGGTGTCATGGGCACTGGGATGGATGGCCTTAGGGACACTGGGATGGCATCGGGGACAGTGGGATGCTCTGCAGGGACAAGGACAGTGCTCCCTCCCGTTCCAGCCGTGGCAGGGACAGGCGTGGCTGTGGCTCCTGGCACCCGTGGGGGTGCTCCGGCCGAGGCCAGGCCTGGCAGAGGGCTCTGCTGCCTGTCCCCCGCTGTCCCCTCCTGCCGGGTGACAGGGCGCGTGTGGCTGATGTCACCCGCCCCCCTCCCTCCCAGTTTCCTCTTTCACTCGAGCCCTCCCGGCCGCTCCAGCTGTTGGAGCCCCGAGGAGGAGAAGGAGCAAGGGCCCGGGTCGGGGGGCACAGGGGTGCCCGGGACCTGGCAGGGTTCCCTGCGGGGCTGGGGGTGCCCAGGGCTGTCCCCGGGGTGTGTCCCTGTCGGTGGAGGAGGATGCTGGCGGCCGTGCTGAGCAAGAGCCGCGTCCTGAGCGCTGGAGCCAAGTGAGTGGGAGTGGGATTGAGGTGGGAGCGGGTCAGGATGGGCTCCGCAGGGGGGCTCAGCCTGTGTCCCCCATGCTCGGCTCCCCCCCTCCGGGCCGTCAGACAGCAAAGCCACTGCGGGGCCGCAGCTGGATCCGGTCCCCCCGGATGAGCGGCTTCCGGCAGCGCTGGGCTTGCTGAAAGCCTTCCTCCTCTTCTCCCTCTCCCCTTCTTCTCCTTGTCCCCCTCCCCTTCCCCTTGTCCTACGTTTCCCCCTCCTTTTCCCTCTCCTTCTCCCCCTGCTGCTCCTCCTCTCCCTCCTCCTCCTCCTCCTCCCGCCCCCAGCCCGGGGGAGGTTTCGTGCTGCGCCATCGGAGGGGGAGTCCTCTGCGATGACGTCATGGGGTGGGGAAACTCCGCGCCGTGACGTCACCGCTGGTTGGTATTCCACCTGCGTGGCCGTGGGCGGGGGGGGGGGGACTGCGACAGTCCCCGGGCACCCCCCGCATCCCCTGCAGAGTGTCCTGCAGCAGCCCCGCATCCCACAGCACCCCGGCACTGCAGACCCCTGCAGGAAATCCCCTACAGCCCCCCCTGCACCCCCTTCCCAAGAGGATCTCCCCCCTTGCAGCGCCCTGCACCCCTCCCACAGCATCCCCTGCACCCATTCAGCACTCCCATATAGGAAATCCTCTGTGGCTCCCCTTCTGCACCCCCCAGGCACTCCCACACCCCACAGAAATCCTCTCTGGTACCCGTGTCCCCTCCTGCACAGTGTGATGTGCCCCCCTGGTGCTGTATCCCACAGCTGCCAGGCCCCTCTGCAGCCCCGGGCACACCCTGCTGTTGTCACCCCCTGCATCCCCCAGCAGCTCCCCATCCCTGTGCCCCTGTCCCAAGGCTGGCATGTCCCTGGCCAGGCTGGCGTGTCCCTCTGGCTGTCTGTGCCAGGGTGGGGAGTTTGTGACCAAGGGGACATGTCCCTCTGTCCCTGAGGGTTGGCACATCTGTCACCAGGGTGGGACATCTCTCTGTGTATCCGTGACCAGGCTGGCATGTCCCTGTGTGTGTCTGTGCCAGGCTGGCACATCTGTGGCCAGGCTGGGACATCTCTCTGTGTGTCTGCGCCAGGCTGGCACATCTGTGGCCAGGCTGGGACATCTCTGTGTGTCTGTGCCAGTGACACACACAGACTGGCACGTCTGTCACCACGGTGTCATGTCCATGGCAAGTCTGACACATCCCTCTGTGTATCCGTGACCAGGCTGGCACGTCCCTCACCAGGCTGGCACATCCCTGTGCGCATCTGTGACCAGGGTGGGACATCCCTCTGTCCATGATTAGAGTGACATGTTCCTCTGTGCACCCATGACTGTGCTGTCACATCTGTGAGCAGGGTGACAGACCCATGACCAGGGTGGGACTTCCCTCTGTATGTCTGTGACCAGACTGGCATGTCACCCTAGTCATGGATAGAGAGACATGCCCTTCTGTGTATCTGTCACCAGGGTGGCATGTCCCTCTCTCTGTGGCCAGGCTGCCATGCTTGTGACCAGTCTGTCTCATCCCTCTGTAAGCCTGTGCCAGGCTGGCACGTCTGTCTGTCACCAGGGTGGCATGTCTGTCACCAGTCTGGTACATCCCTCTGTGTGTCTTTGTCCAGGCTGGCACATCCATGCAGAGCTGGCGCTTCCCTCCTCATGCCTCTCCCTGCCCCACGTCCCCTCCCTTGTCCACCCCAGTGTCCCCACGTGTCCCTGCAGCCCCAGCCTGCACTGTCACACCCCTGGAATCACCTGCTGTCACCCTGGGGATGGTGACACATTGATGCAGTGGCCCTGCAGCTACATAGGCAGTGAGGGAAGCAGCTTGCCCAGAGAGCTGTGGAGTGGGCAGGCACTGGCTGTGCCCTGGGGTGACAGTGGGGACGAGGTGACAAGGGTGTCCCTGTCCCTGCCGCAGGTGTTGTGAGTGCGGGGCCTCCCTGTCCCACCAGTACTACGAGAAGGATGGGCGCCTGTACTGCAAGAAGGATTACTGGGCACGCTTCGGGGAGCTGTGCCACGGCTGCTCCGAGCAGATCACCAAGGGGCTGGTCATGGTGAGCACCACGGGGCCCCCAGGGTGGGACACGGAGCCTTGTGCCCTTGTGCCATGGCTGAGCTCCTGGGGAGCAGGGCAGGGGGGAAGGGGTGCAGATCCCCAGCACCACTGGGTGTGTCAGGGATGTCCTCTAGGTTTTAGGGGACCCTGGAGGGCCTTGCTGGGACTGGGGAACGCAGGGGAGAAGCTCAGCGTGGTGGGAGATGTTCCTGCAGCCACCTCCAACTTGGTGGCACTTCTGTCCCCACCATCCCACAGCTCAGCCCACCCTACCCGCAGCCCCAATGCACCCGTGGGTGCTCCCAGGCCCCTCTGAGCCCCGGCCCTGCCCTCGGTGCCTGGACAGGGGGTCCCGGGGCTGATGCCATTGCTCACAGGTGGCCGGGGAGCAGAAGTATCACCCCGAGTGCTTCAGCTGCCTCAACTGCCGCGCCTTCATCGGGGACGGGGACACGTACGCGCTGGTGGAGCGCTCCAAGCTCTACTGGTACGTCTGCTCCGGGGGGCCGGGGGGACGCGTCCCAGCACCCCCACCCACCCTCCTGTCTGCTCCCCACAGCGGCCACTGCTACTACCAGATGGTGGTGACGCCGGTGATCGAGCAGATCCTGCCGGACTCGCCGGCCTCCCGCATCCCTCACACCGTCACCCTCGTGTCCATCCCCGCCTGCTCCGACGGCAAGCGCGGCTTCTCCGTCTCCATCGACCAGGGCTGCGGCACCGAGCACCCGCGCACCGTGCGCGTCCGAGAGTGCGTCCCTGTCCCCTCTGCCGCCGTCCCCTCCCCAGGGCTGGGGCTTCCCGTGCCCCTTCTGCCGCTGGGATCCATCCCAGGACACGTTTTGGTGTGGGAGAGGAGGGGTGGTGCTGGGTTGTCCGCATTGTCCAGGGGTGGCCTGTAGGGACCGTGGTGGCGTGTCCCCAACTGCAGGGGGGTTTGTGGAGGCTGTGCATGCCATGCTAGCATTCCCTTATATACCTGAGTGGGTATCATGCATGTCCCTGTGTGGTTGGGGTGGCTTGTGGAGACTGTGCCAGCATGTCCCTCTCCAGGAGGTGACAGTGGGGTCTGACACACCCACTGGGAGTGTCCTAGTACACCCCACTGATGGTGACAGTGTCGGGGGTCTGACCCCACTGTCACCACAGGGTAGACCCGGACTGCATCAGCCCTGACATGAAGAACTCCATCCACGTTGGTGACCGCATCCTGGAGATCAATGGAACCCCTATTGGCCACGTCCCCCTGGATGAGGTATGGTCCCCCTGTCACACCCCAGCCAGCCCCACTTCTGCCATGTCCCCAAACCCACCCCATCACCATGTCCCTGTGCAGATCGACCTGCTGATCCAGGAGACGAGCCGCCTGCTGCAGCTAACCATCGAGCACGACCCCCACGAGCCCCTGGGCCAGGAGCCAGGGCTGGCAGGCAGCCCCCTGCCCGCCCTGTGCAGCCCCCTGCGCTCGCCAGCCCCCGTGCCCTGCGGGGACCCCGCTGCCATGCGCCAGCGCGCTGTCACGTAAGGCCACCCCTGTCCCTGTCTCTGTCCCTGCTGGGTGTCCCCAGCACGCTGAGCTCTGCCCGTCCGTCCCGCAGGAGGAGCTGCAGCACGGACAAGTCCCCGGGCTCGGGCTCCGTGGGCTCTCCCGCGTCGCAGCGCAAGGACATCGGGCGTTCCGAGTCCCTGCGCGTCGTGTCCCGCGCCCACCGCATCTTCCGCCCCTCGGACCTCATCCATGGGGAGGTGCTGGGCAAGGGCTGCTTTGGCCAGGCCATCAAGGTGGGCAGGGGGCACCAGCCTGGGGGTCTCGGCTCCCCAGGATGGAGGGGGTGGCTGAGTCCCTGCGCTCCCGGCCAGGTGACGCATCGGGAGACGGGCGAGGTGATGGTCATGAAGGAGCTGATTCGCTTTGATGAGGAGACCCAGAGGACCTTCCTCAAAGAGGTGAGGGTCCCCTGTCCGTAATCCCCCAGGCTGCAGGGCCACAAGGGATGGGTCTGTCTGATCCTGGCCCCACCTGGGCACAGCCCCTGCACAGGGGTGACCAAGCCCCGTGGGTGCAGCCCTGCCCACTGAGCCTGTGAGCAGCAGCTCTGTCCGGGGTGTGGGAGCCTTGGGGTGTCACGGACACGGGGCTGGGGGCTCTCCTGCAGGTGAAGGTGATGCGCTGCCTGGAGCACCCCAACGTGCTCAAGTTCATTGGAGTGCTCTATAAGGAGAAGAGGCTCAACTTCATCACAGAGTACATCAAAGGGGGCACTTTAAGGAGCCTCATCAAGAGCATGGTGAGCACCGGGGGAGGCAGGTTGGTCCCCCACCACCCCACAGCCCCAGTGTGGCTGGGGACCTCTCTTCCTTTCTCATTTCCTGGCAAACTCCCCCTCCTGCCCCCCAGGACAGCCACTACCCCTGGAGCCAGCGGGTCAGCTTTGCCAAGGACATCGCTGCTGGCATGGTGGGTGCCACCATGGGATGGGTGGGTGCAAGGGGCACTGCTGAGCGGGGGGACCATGGCGTGGGGGTACCGCTGCTCTCAGCCCACCCTTCCCACAGGCCTACCTCCACTCCATGAACATCATCCACCGCGACCTCAACTCTCACAACTGCCTCGTGCGGGAGGTGAGTCCCACCTTGGTGCTGCCCTCCCCCAGCCTGGCTGGGGCTCTCAGGCCCTGTTGGCTCCCCCAGGCCTCACCCCTCCCTCTGCCCCCCAGAACAAGAGTGTGGTGGTGGCTGACTTCGGGCTGGCGCGGCTGATGGTGGATGAGAAGAACCAGCCCGAACATCTCAAGAACCTGAAGAAACCGGACCGCAAGAAACGCTACACGGTGGTGGGGAACCCCTACTGGATGGCCCCCGAGATGATCAATGGTGAGGGGCGTGTGGCCAGCCAGGGCTCTGTCCCCAGGCAGGGGACGCGTGGTGGGGCTGGGACAGGACGTGTGACGTGGCCTGACTCTGTGTCTGCAGGGAGGAGCTATGATGAGAAGGTGGACATCTTCTCCTTCGGCATCGTCCTGTGCGAGGCAAGTGCCCCTGGGGCTGGGGTCTGCCATGGGCGCTGGGGTCCTCATGGTGTTTGGGGTCACTTCCCCAAGGCTGGGGTACCCTCCTTGGGATTGGGATGTTTAGAGTCTCTTAGAGTCTTCACCTTAGGATTGGAGCCTTTTCCCATTGACTTGGGGTCCCCCTAGGCTTTGGAGTCCTCATTGTTACCCTCCAGGGTAAGGTTTTCCTCCTTGGAGTTGGGGTCTCCCTTTTGGGGTTGAGGTCTCCTTTTTGGGGTTGAGGTCTCCTTTTTGGGGTTGAGGTCCTCATTGTGCTCGAGTTCCCCCTCTTAGACTTGGAGTCCTCCCCTGGGGTTGGGGCCTCTCTCCTTCGGTTAAGGGTCTCCCTGATGGGGTCTCTCTCTTGGGGTTGGGGTTTCTTCATTGTGCTTGGGCTCCCTCGTGGGGCTTGGACATCTCCCCCTTGGGGCTTAGGGGTCCCTGTTTGGGGTTGGGGTCCCCCTTTGGTGCTGAGCCCGCCCGTTCCCGCCGCCGCCCGCAGATCATCGGCCGGGTGAGCGCCGACCCCGATTACCTGCCCCGCACCACCGACTTCGGCCTCAACGTCCGGGGCTTCCTGGAGCGCTACTGCCCCCCCGCCTGCCCCCCCAGCTTCTTCCCCATCGCCGTCTGCTGCTGCGACCTGGACCCCGAGAAGCGGTGGGTGCTGGGGACCCGCGGGGGTCCCCGGGGCAGGGGACGGGGTGGGGACAGAGCCAGCGGAGCTGCCACCTGTCCCCCTGCTCGCTCAGGCCGTCCTTCGCCAAGCTGGAGCAGTGGCTGGAGACGCTGCGCATGCACCTGGAGATCCACCTGCCGCTGAGCTCGCAGCTGGAGCAGCTGGACCGAGCCTTCGGGGAGGCGCACCGGCGGGAGGGGGCGCTGCCCGCGGCCCCGCGGTAGAGCCCCCGCCCGCGCCCCTCCGCAGCCACGGGAGACGGAGCTGCGCTCGCCACCAGCCGCTCCTGGGGCTGCCTCCCCCCGGGGCTGGATCCCCGGGCCCCCGGATGGCCCCCGTCCCGCTGCCCACCCCGGGGAGCTGGCTCTCCCCGGGGCCGCATGGCCCTGGGCACCCCCACGCCGTAGCTCTGAGCGCCGGGACCAGCCCGGCTGGCCGCACCGCGGGGACCGTCCCCGTGTCCCCACCCCGGCTCACCTCCCCTTTGCACAGCGGGGCTGCCCCGGACGGTGCCTTGGCTTTCCGTGAACTTGCACTTGGACACGGGAGGGACCCCGCGGCCCCCCAGGGCACCCTCGTAGCAACGCCCTCGGCCGGCCCTGAGGCTGCTCCCGCCGCACCCCCGGCCGGGCGAGGGGACACCCCCGTGGCGTGGGGACAGGCACGTAGCGGTCCCTGCCGCCCCCGCGCCTCTGCTGCCGTGCTGAGCCCCGACCACGCAGTGCTGGGGTCCTGGGGCTGGGCTCATCTCGGTCCCCCTGCCCCGGAGGGCCCGGGGGGGTTGCGCCACGCGGTGCTTTTCATGCTCTTTATTCAGGTTCATTTTTCTGTAAGATATTTAAAGAGAAGAGTTTGTATTATTTTTTCATACAACGTAGCGTTTGCCATTTGTCACTGCCTCGGTTCTGCTTTCCCGAAGGGATCAAACTGTGAAGCCTCTCCGTGCACTTTTGCCCGGGAAGTCCAAGGTGACGTCCTCTGCGGAGGCGGGAAGGGAGCTCAAACTGTGATGTACCCCGAGCCGTGAGTCAATAAATCCTTCCCCGCTCGCTGCCCGGCCTGTTGGCAATCGCTCGCCTCCCCCGGGGGGCTGGGAGCTCCTGTGCAAACTGAGGCAGGAGGGGACGGTCCCCGTGCCCAGGGTGGGGCTGGCACTGTCCGTGGTGGCACCCACCAGCTCGCCCACCCCCATGGGGGCAGTACTGTTGTCCCCCTTTGTGCTGTCCCCACCCCATTGTGGGTACCCCCAGCCCTGGGACTGGTGCCACCCCTGCTTTTGTCACCAGGGCCCCCAAGTACTGTGTCCCCTCCCACTGTCATGCCGGGGTGGTGACAGGCAGGTGACAGAGCTGTGTGACCATCGGTGCTGGAGCTGATTTGCCTTTGGTGTAAAACCAGCGCCAGGGAACAGTGAGGTGGCTCATGCTGGGGTAGCCCATGGCCCTGCCCTGCTGTCCCTCTATCCTCAACACCTCTCTGAACCAAACTAAGGTCTCCAAGGTGGGGGGGCTCCATGCCTGGGGAGGGCGAGCTTTGGAAGCTGGAGAAGACCTGGAACCCAAAGAGCTGAGGGGGAGTGACAGGGAAGGGATGGGACTGGGGGGATGTCCCCAAGGGTGTCCCCAGTGATGCTGCAGCTGGGGAAGGAGCCTGAAAGGGTCCCAGGGTCCAGGCTGGAACCCCCACCAGAGAACCTCATGGTTTATTGCTCTGGAGGGACATGGGGGGGGGATGTAGTGACAGTGGCACTGTCCCCCCTCCTGGAGAGGCTCCTGACTGCCTGTTCCCCAGTAGCCCAGTGAGGGACAGGGACTAACACCCTGCCTGGTGTCACAGGCTGTCACTGCCCCTGGTGACACCCCACTGTGCTGATTCTTTGCTCTGGGAGCAGGACACTGTCACTCCCTGGGAGCGCTGGGGTGAGGGAGCCACTGTGGCCACCACACCTTGGGAACACCACTGTCCCAGTGCCCTGCTGCCACAGGAGAGCAGCACCCCAGGAGACCCCAGCTCTGCAGTAGGAACCCCCAAAGCCATGGGACCCCCCCAGCCCCTCACCCAGCTGGATGCAGGAGTGCCTGGGGGTGTCAGGGACACCACACCCACTGGGACACTTCCTGGTGGCCCTTGGGGCAAGAGCCAGCAGCTGGCCACAAAACCAAGTGGCCACTGAGTCACCCCAGCAACTCATCCCAGACCAAGCCACCAGCTGGGACACCCCCTCACCAGGCAGGGAGGTGGCTCTGGCACAGCCACAGTGGCCCCATGCTGTCACTGTCACCCGAAAGTTTCCTCCAGGGCTGTGCAGCATCCTGTGCCCAAATCCAGCCCCTGTCTAGCCTGACCCAGTGCCCGTGGGAGAGACTCATCCCATCACCAGCACCTGGCTGTCCCCTCCAGCCATCCCTTCCCAGGAGGGACAAGGCCACCCAGACCATGTCACAGGCCACCAAGAGCTGCCACTGCACCCACTGTCTCCTCCCAGCTCCTGCTCTGTGCCCCCAGGGATGTCTCTGGTAGGGTCCTGCCCCAGTCTGGTATGGTGGCACGTGGGGAGCCAGGTGTCCCCACCAAGGGGTGGCCAAAGGCACCAGTGGCTCTGGCAAGGACACAGCTGAGAGCTCCAGCCATGAACCATTGGCTGTGGGTTGGTCACATTCCTGGTGGGGGAGTTTGGGACTCCAGGGGAGAGGAGCAAGGGCAGGTTCTCCAGGAATCCTGGCAAGGTGGGCACTGGTGCTGCGGGGACCCTCCTGGGGGACATCTTGTGACAGGGGTAACTGGCAGAGGGTCCTCATGAGGCTTGAGATGTGCAAGGAGGAGAGGTGCTGGGGACCAGTCAGGACAGGGCTGTGTGGAGATGGAAAAGGATTCCTGGGATCCCAGCAAGGCATCCAGCTGCACAGGGATGTGTGGAGATGGAGGAGGATTCCTGGGATCCCAGCAAGCACCCAGCTCCATAGGGACATGTGGAGCTGGAGGAGGGTCACAGGGGTCTGGCTGGGGTGTCCAGCCCCATGGGGACATGGGGTCTCACCCCCAGCCCTGGCCACAGCAAGACTCACCCTCACATGAGGAGTTTCCAGTGCCGAGCAGGCAATGGCTCTGGGATCCTCTGGAGCCCTTTCCAGCTCAGCCAGAGGCTGGACCTGAGACATCCTGGGATCATTGCTGTCCTCCAGCCCTCTGATCTCCCATCCTGCATTGAACGTGGCTCTGCAGGGTGTGTGTCACAGCTGACCCTGTCCCCAGAGGTGGCACAGATCCCTCCCCTGGCTCAGGATCAGGGCTCTGTGTGGCTCTGGAGCAGCCTGAGCCCTCCCTCCATAATTTGGTGGCACTGTCACACCTCCCCTCTGCAAGCTGGGCTGGGATAGGAGCCACCTCCTTGGGTCACACATGTCACCAGCACCTGGTGGCTCCACGGGGAACATCCAGACACCCAAAACCCTGGTGGAGCTCTGAGGCCAATGGTGGGGGTCAGTACCTGTCTGTCTGCCTCAATTCCCCTGTGGCTGGAGCTGTGGGGTGTGGGGATGGGAAGAAGGGCTGTCACTGCAGCTGTCACTGCAGCTCCTGTCCCCCCTCTGGTGTCCTCTGGTCCCTGACAGGTGAGGCTGGCCAAACCCAGGCCAGAAAATCCCATGGGAAGCAGTTCCCACCTCATTTGCCAGCAGTTTTGGTAAGATCTACATAAACATGGCATTTATAAACACAGCCCTGGGAACATGGTCCTGCCATCCTCTCTGCCAGCTGGGGGCACTGGGGGCCATCCCTGTGTCCTGTGGGGACACAGGCACCGGGGAGGGGACAGCTGGGGCTGCCTGAAAGCCTCAGCTGCTTCTGGGGGGAGAAGTGGCTTCTCTCAATCCCACTGCATCCTCCCCCAGCTCCAGCACAGTGATGGGTGCTCCTGCATTGCCCAGTGCCACCAGGGCCCCAGGCACGACCAGGGGTGGGCACCATCGACTGATGAGTCCTTTGGGAGGGATCTGGGAGCTGCTGACACGTGATGAGCTGTGGGAAGGTTCAGGCCAAGGAGGAAAGGGGGCTTTGGGTGGGACCACGCGGGCTTCTGGGTTTGGATGTCTGTGACACCGTCCCCATTGCTGTGACACCGTTCCTTAGAGCACATCCCATGTCCAAATCCCTCCAAGGGGCTGGCACTGCCTGGACTTGGGGAATGTGGACCCTTAGAACCCCCTGCTCTGAGCAGGAGCTCCCTGCAGAGACAGCCCAAGGGTGGGGAGACCCTGGGATGTGGGTTTGGGGAGCTGTGGGACCCTGACATGTGCGTCTAGGGAACCCCTGTGCATGGGTTTGGGGAGCTGGAAGACCCTGGCATGTGGGTTTTGGGTTTGGGGGACCCCAGACTGTAGGTTTGGGGGCAATTAGCTGCCACATTAGACTCAAGCACAGGGAGCAGCTCAGGCATGGGCAGCCCTGGGCTCAGACCAAGGGAAAGAAGCCAAAAGGCAGGAGCTACACCCCAGGTTTTCAGGCTCCACTGACCACAGACCCCCCAACCCACCTCATCCCTTTGCTGGGGCAGATCTTGGGGAGCACTGTAGGGTGCCTGATGTGGCTCATCCTTTCCACAGTGTGAAAAATGAGTTTATTCCCAGCTTGGAGCCTGTTTGGCTGCTTTGGAGAGGGGAGAGCAGAACTTCTGCCTGTGCTTGGTGGCTTTGGGGATGGATCCTTGGGGCTTTGTCCCTTGGGATGTGCGGTGCTCCCTGCACATGGCATTCCTGGGCCCAGCCAGGGAATGCCTCCAGACAGGACCCATTGCAAGAGAAAGAGCTAAAATAGAGATTGTCACGGCAGATGCAGGGGAGCATCCCAACATGTGGCCTCTGGACCTGGCAGCAGACGAGGACGTGGTGACCCCAGCCCCATCCCATGCCTGGCTGACACCCTGTGGTCTCTGTGACCCCCAATCTTCCCCCAGCCCTGCTTTGAGCCCCCCGGGCAGGGGGAACCCCGGGCGCTGTCTCGGTGATGCCGCTGCAGGCAGGGGGAGCCGGTGATGCCAGGGCGGGCAGGGGGAGCCGGTGATGCCACGTCAGCAGGGGGAGCCGGTGCCGGTGATGCCATGGCAGGGGAGCCGGTGCCGGTGATGCCAGGGCAGGGGAGCTGGTGCGAGGTGATGCCAGGGCAGGGGGAGCCAGTGCTGGGTGATGGCGGTGGGGGCAGGGAGAGCCCCGGGTGCTGTCTCGGTGTTGGTGATGCCAGGCCAGGGAGAGCTGGTGCCAGGTGATGCCAGGGCAGGCAGGAGGAGCCGGTGCCGGTGATGCCAGGGCAGGGGGAGCCGGTGCTGGGTGATGCCAGGGCAGGCAGGAGGAGCCGGTGATGCCAGGGCAGGCAGGGGGAGCCGGTGCCGGTGATGCCAGGGCAGGCAGGGGGAGCCGGTGCTGGGTGATGCCAGGGCAGGGGGAGCCGGCAGGGGCAGCCCCGGGCAGGCAGCGAGGAGGTTAAAGCTCCCCACGCCCGCCGGATGCAGCATCCTGGGCTGGGCTCTTTCCATCTTGTTTTGGTTTGAAGGAATAAAAGCTTTGGCAGCAGCAAAGCCGCTTCCCAAAATAACTCAGCCTCCCATGGTAATTATAGAGCTCCGGGCCCCGGTAGCGAGCGGAGACTTCCCAGCCGGGCCGGGCCCGAGGATCGCTGCTGCTGCCGGCCCGAGGGACCCCGGGGTGCCTCGGGGACCTTGGGGAGCTCCCCAGCCGTGCCACCCTCCCTGGGTGTCCCCATCGCTCCCAGACAGGAGCGTGCAGCCCCTGTGTCCCTCCCGCTCCGCAGCTGATCCCTTCAGCTTTTAATGCTCGTGTAAAGCCCAGGTTGCAGCTCCCGGCCTCGATGGGCACTGGGCTACGGGAGCGAGGCGGTGGCCAGAGAGTGGCTGTGCCCCTGGCCAGGTCAGGAACACGGAGCTGATCCCGGCAGGGCCGGCCCGAGAGCGCCCGGCTCACCCTGGCAGTGCCCTCCCATCCCCGCGGGGCTCAGCGCTGCTCCTTGGAGGGCAGGGAGAGCCCGGGCTGAGCTCCTGGAGCCCCCGAGCCCCTAATCCCCGGTAATCCTGCAGGAAAGCGCTGCCTGTGGGGATTAGGGATGTAAACAGCCATCCTCACCTGCCTGCCCTGCCTGCCCCTACCTGCCCCCTGCCCGCACCCCCAGCGGCCAAGATGCAGTGCCAGGAGAGAGGGATCCCTGCCTGGACCCCCCAAATACAGGGTCGAGGTGGCCACCGGTGCTCTCTGAGGCTGCGTTGAGCCTGTGATGGTTATTTATGGGAATAAAGAGAATGTAGAGCCATCTGGACACAGCCTGGATCTATAACATCCGAGGGAAAGAGATTCCAGGCAGTGACAAGGTTGGGGACAAGGTGAGATAGTCCCTGTGGAGTTACACAGCTTTGGTCAGAGCCTCACTGGGGCTGGATCTGTTTTTTCCTCCTGGGGAATCACCACTGGCTTTTCTCATGGGCAGGGAAACTGAGGCAAGTGAGGAGAAGCCCATGAGAGGGATGTGCTGGGAATGCATGTGACCTCCCCAGCTCGCTGGCTTGGAGTGGGTTTGAAGTGGGACAAGGACAGTCCTGAGGAGCAGCAGGGCCGGGAGACAGAAATGTGGGGAGGGCTGAGCTGTGCCAGCTGCGTGCCACGGGGAGCAGCCCCCGCGGCCAAGGCTGCCCCGGCCCTTTCCCGGCCGGAACAGGAGCCCGCGGTGCCAGCCCTGCCCTCAGGGACACGGGGACACGGCCGCGTGCCACTGCCACTCACATGGGCTGGGGGACATCCCGGGAAGGCGCTGCCGTTCCTGGAGACAGGGGCACGGCCGGGTGTCCGGGTCCCTTTGCCAGCCCACCGGCCAGGGGCAGGATGGCTCAGCAGCAGCCCCGGGAAGGGTTCGGGAGGGGGAGGCAGGCTGGCATTTTGCAGAGAGAGCACTGGGAAACTGGGATTTGGTGACCTGTGCCCTGGGCAGTCGCCAGTCCCTGGTACCCAGCAGGTGCTGTGGGGTGTGTGGGGCTGGGTGTTCTCCCAGTACTCAACACCCCCTAACTGGTGCCCAGTGCTCCCAAGAGGCAGTGGCTGGTGTGAGCCCAGTGCCTCCTGCACAGTACCTGGTACCTGCCGGGCAATGCCTGCTGCTGGTGACACTGCCAGGAGGTCACTCACCGGCACGGGGCCATTCCCTCTCACTGCACCACTGACTGGTGCTGGGGCCTTGTACCCACTGCCTGCACTGGGCCCTGCCAATGCCCAGCACCCAGCGCTGTGCCCTGCGCCCGGTGCTGTGCCCTGTCCCTGGTACTGGTGCCCTGTCCCTGCTGCAGTTTCTGTTCCTGATGCTGGAGCCCTGTGCCACCATCCCGTGCCCTGTGCAGCTCCCGGTGCCCGGTGAGTGCTGCCAGAGCTGGTGCCCGGTGCCCGGCCCCAGTGCCAAGGCGAGTGCCTGGCACCGGTGCCAGGTATTGATGCCAGAGCCGAATGCTAAGGCTGGACGCTGATGCCCAGTGCCCGGTGCTGGTACCCAGTGCGTGGTGCCAGTGCCCCGTGTGGGGTGCCCGGTGCCCGGTGCCTCGTGTGCAGCGCCGAGCGCTGGTGCTGCTGCCTGTACCCGAGCGCAGTGCGCGGGGCCGGGCGCTGCTGCTGCTGCCGGTGTCGCTGCCGGTGCCCGGTGCCGCTGCCGGTGATGCCGAGCGGCCGCCCCGCCCGCCCCCCCGCCCGCCCCGCCCCGGGGCCGCCCCCGCCCCCGCCGCTGCTATTTCTGCTAATCCGCGGCGGGGCCCGGCCGTGCCCATCGGCAGCCGCCGCTCCCGGACGGCGCCCGGCGCCGCAGCCATGGTAAGGCCGGCGCGGACGTGGGACCGGCCCGGCCCGGCCCGCGCTGCCCCGCACCGTGGCACGGGCCCGCTCCCGCAGCCCGGGCCCGCTCCCGCAGCCCGCTGCCCTCCGTGAAGGTGACGGTGCGCGGGGGCGGAGCGGACCGGGGCCGCCGGTGCCGCAGCGGAGCGCGGGGGGGACACGGGCGGCGGGGCAGCACCTGCCCGGCCCCGGAGGGCGCAGCCCCGGGAGAGGCGAAGGGGCCACGGGCCCTCACCGGGGCATCCGGAGGGCAGCGCTCGGGAGCGTCACCTGCGTGTCCCCGTCCCGCGCTCCTCCCACGGGTGTCCGTGCGTGGGCAGCGGGAGCCGCTCCGGTGCGGCTCCGTGCCGAGCATCGCTTCCCAGCTCTTGGCAGGTCCCCGGGCTGGGGCGCTGGTGGCACTGCCAGCCCGGCCGGGCCCTCGGCCGGGACCGTCACACGCACGGAGCCGGCTCTGCACTCACCGGCAGGGTCCGGAGCCGCCGCTGGCGTTCCCAGCCCGCGGGGGCTTGTTCCGCATCTCCCGCTCTGCCTCGCTCCTCCGCGGCGGTGGCAGGTCCCCTGCGGCCGCCCGGCCGGGCCACGTCTCCGCGGGGACTTCGGGCCGTGTCCGGGGTGGGGGTGAGGACCGAGGGCTGCCGCCGTGGCTCGCGTGGCACCGGCTGGTGGCCCCGGGACGAGCGGCCTTGGTGGGGAGCGCCGCGGCCGCGCTGCCCCGGCAGCGCCGTGGGAACCAGCCCGGCACATTCCTCCGGAGCTGGATGCAGCGAAAGCAGAGAGGAGGGCGGCTGGCGGAGCGTGTCGCAACGGAGCGCCTTCCCGACAGGCTCCAGACTGTGCCTGTGGGATGCACACATCAGCCTCGGAAACATCGGGGGGGGACAGAGTCACAGCTGGGGACCGGGGCCAGCTGGGCTCCCTCGCCCCTGCCCGTGGGGTGAGCTGGGGCTGGAGGTGCTCCAGAAGGACCCACAGAAGCAGAGCCGGTGCCCCGTCACCAGTGCCACATCCCTCTGTCCCCAAAGCAGTTCCCGGCTGGCCCAGAGGAGCAGCAGGAGCACTGGTGTGTCCCTCCCCCGGTCTCTGCTCCCGCCTCTGAGCGGGTCAGATCCCTGAGTGCCCGGCCCCACGTGCTGAGATGTCACCGGGTCTCCAGCCTGGACAGGCCTCGCTGTCACATCCCGGCTCACAGGGAGCCATGGTCCCATCCTGGGGTCCCCACTCAGGTGCTCTCAGGCCCTTCAAACTGGAGGATTCCTGCGGGAGAGGGACTGGAGCTGCTGCACCAAGGGCTGTGCTCACCTGCCTGGTGCTGACCCCCTGCCCAGAGCAGGGACCCACAGCACAGCCTGCCCCCCATCCTTGGGGTGCCCGGCACCCTGCTCCCCTTGGAGCTGCCGGGAGACTCCGTTTCCCATCTGGAACGCTGCTGAGGGGTGGGATGGCAGAGCTGGGGGTGCCCTGGCTCTGCAGGGGGAGCATCCCGTGCGCCCAGAAGCAGGGCCGGGCACAGCCCCGCTCCCGTCCCCCTGGCAGCGCTGGCCTTTCGCTGGGGGCTTCTCCTGCGCGGCGTTCGTGCCTTTGGGACCGCGTTTGTGCCTGGGATACTCAGCCACAGTGACACAGCGGCCGTGCCGCGGGTGGCATTCTGGGTGTCACCTTTAGAGGGCTTGGGGACGCCTCTGTCATCCTGGCGGTAGGGACAGCGCCTCGCCGGGATGTTCCCTTCCTTTGCCGGGGAAAACACCTCGGTGGGAATGCGGTACCCGTGGAGCGATGCTCAGGGGCAGCCGGTGCTTTCCTCGGTCAGGCTTTGCCCGCCGCCCCCGTGTCCCCCCGCGCCGCATCCCTCGGGCTGTCACGGCGCGGGGACGGCGCGATGCAGAGTGACAGGCGGGGACGGGGCTGCTCCTGCGGCTGCGGGGCGCTGACAGCCCGGGTGTGAGGCCGGCTTGCACTCAGCCGCGTGTGTAATCTGCTTACGGGGGCACCGACACAGCCCCGGGCTCTCGCTGCCGTAAATCCCCGCTCCTGCCGGGAGTGCGGGCTGGGACGCTGGGAAAGCGGCCGAGCGCCCCTGGATCGCGCCTGAGCTGCTCTGATGCATCTCGACACGCATCAAGGTGAATCACCATCCCTGGTGACCCCGAAGTGACAGCCGGGGAGCCCTGGCTGCCACCCACGGCTCCTCCTGGGGCACTGTTAACCCTTCGCCTCCCAGCGATGAGCCGGGAAAGCCGAGGCAGGAATGCTGGAGCTCCTGCCTGAGATCCCTGGGGTGGGCAGCGTCCCTGCTTCTCCCAGGCCGGGGCTGGGTCCTTCCCAGCCAGGCCCAGCTCGAGCAAGAGCTTAAAGCCACGTGGGGAAGCTTAAGTGTCAGGTGCAAAAGTGCGGGAAAACTGAGTTTCTGATCTCAGAGAGGGTGTGGAGCCCTGCTGGGGAACGCTCCGGGGGGCAGCGGGGGTGGATGTGGTGTGCACTGGGATGGAGAAGAATTTTATCCTGGAATGGAGAGGAATTTTATCCCGGGATGGAGGGAGTTTTATCCCAGGATGGAGCGGATTTTCTTCCTGGGACAGAGGTGTTTGCAAGGACTGAGTGTCCTCCTGGGCTGTAGGCAATGTGTGCGTTCAGCCCAGGGGTGCTGGTGGTGCTCCTGCAGCCCCCCCAGGACCTCCCTTGGCCAATGACGGCTGGTCCTTGACACGTCCCCAGCCGGGCAGGAGCTGGGTTCGGCTCTGCCCGGGTTCCTCTCCCCTGCCGTGCCCGGCCCCTGGGTGCGCAGCCTGCCCAGGGTGGAGTTATGCTAATGCTGCTCTCCAGCCCTCGGCGCAGCCGGTGCCGCTCGGCATCTCCTGCTGGCCACGGGCGACGCTGGCTGAGCCATGGCCACCGGCCCCGAGCTGCAGCCTGGGCAAGAGGTACGGGGGCAGCGCCCGTGCCCGGCGGGCCGAGAGAGGGGGCACAGGGGGTGGGGGCACGGAACACCCCGGTTCTGCGGGAAGGTGCCGCAGCTCATCCTCCGTCCCCGGGACAGCCCTGCCGGGGCCGCGCTGGCTGCAGGACCCCCGAGGATGGGGCGCGAACCTCGGTGCTGCAGCACTGCCGAAGTCATCGGCTTCGCCGCGGGTGGGAGATGAGGGCGAGCCCCAAAGGGCTGGAGCCCCGAGGGATGGAGCGGCAGCAGGGCTGGAAGCGCTCGCCGCTGGTGGTGGCATCACCTCCCATCCCCGAGTGTCCCTGGCCGGGCCGCGCTGGGGGCTGGCACTGAGGCCCCCCAGGCCAAGGGGGGGAGGAAGAGGATGCTGCGGCCACACAGACCCAGCGAGCACTCGGGACCCGCTGGGGCAGAGGGGAGCACGGGGGTCCCGCAGCCCCGCCATGGGGCAGCCCCCGCCATGGGGCCACCTGCTGTCCCCCAGCCTGGCCCGTGGTCCCCGTGCTGTGGCCGCGGGGGCAGCGGGAGCGGGGCCGGGCGTGCGAGCGCTCGGCCCGGGCAGCGCCGTGACCTTGTTTCCAGCCCGCTGATTCCCGCATCTCGCCTGCCGCCGGCACCGCCAGCCAGCGGGGACCAGGCGCGGGGCAGGACACGTGTGGGTCCCCATGGAGGCACCTCGCCTCGAGGCCCCGCTCTGGGGGGACACTGCCCAGCTGGGAGCCCACAGGGTCACGGGCTCCCTCGGCCCCTGCGTGCCTCTCGTTTGGAGCTGGGGTGGCCTGGCAGTTGCCTTGGGACCTTGGGGACATCGGTGCCTGCTGGCAGCGGGGCTTGGTCCCACGGGAGCCGCTGCCGGACGTGCCCTTGGGAACGCGTCTCCTCCCGCCAGCGCTTGTAAACAGGATGTGGAGCCATCCCAACCCCGGCGTTGCCGTCCCCCGTCCCAGCCCCGGCAGCCCTCGGGCAGCAGCTCGGGGGCAGCTGTGCCTGTCCCCCGCCCCTGCCCGCGCCCCGGTCCACGGGAACAGCCAGGGCAAGGAGGTGTCGGCTCCTGGTCGTGTCTCTGGCCGTGTCCCCTGCCCTGGCTTTCTCCCGGTGCTGCGGGGACGAGGCCCCTGTGCTGACACCCCGTGAACGGGCAGCGGGCGGGGGCCGTGGGCACCAGGGGACCCCTGCCTGCTCTCTGCCTTCCCCCAGCTCAGGCCACCCCCCAATCGCTCTTCATCTCTTCTCGGTGTCTCTGTCTCCTCCCGGCCCCTCCCTGTGCTCCTGGCAGGCCGTGGGGCGCGGGGGGGTCCTGGCTGCCCCAGAAGACCCCGAGGAGCGGCGGGGTGCCCAGGGGGAAGGTGCCCACCCCTGTCCCCCGGAGTGCCAGGAGCTGGCTGCCGTCCCCACGCCGCAAGTCGTAAGCGCCCGAGGTGCACGGGACCACGGCTGTCCCCACTGCCGTCCCCATGGCTGTACCCGTGGCTGTCCCCAGGGTGGTGGCCGGTCCCCTGGGGTGGCCGTGTCCCGTCTCTCCTCCCATCCCTGCCACCTTCAGGCTGCATGTGTCTGGCTGCTGCGGTTTGGGGGCTTGTGAGGCTGAGCTGGGTCCTGCCACGTCGGGCTGGCACTGCCACCGCCCCTGTCACCTCCTCCTTTGGTCCCCAGATAAAACGTTTCCTGAAGGAGGACTCGGACGAGGCTGAGCTGACCCAGTTCCTGCGGGATTGCCCAGCAACTGACAGCTCCAGGAAGGTGGAGGCCCCGGAGAGCCGGCGGGAGCCCGGCCACCCCCTGGGCAGCGGGGCCAGGGTCCCCCCAGACGAAGGCAGTGACGAGAGGGACGCCAGGATTTTCTCCCGCTCCCGGCCCGCGGATTTCCAGCAGCACATCGCCGCCCCCCCGCCCCCCAGCCCCAACCGCCCGCGCAGCCCCTGGGGACAGCTGGACCCCTACGACTCCTCCGAGGTGCGGGATGTGTCCCTGGGCAGGGAGGGAGGGAGGGAGGGAGGGACACACACCTGGGGCGAGGGGCTGCGGGATGGAGGATGTCCCCAAAGGCTTTGGGTGGGCATGGCCTCATCCCCTGGAACTTCAACCCTGGGAATCCCTTTGTGGGTCGGGGGAAGGGGGTTCCCAGGGTAGGAGGTGTGCTGGTGGTGTCCCTGTCCCACGTCCCCTCTGCCCTCTGCAGGATGACAAGGAGTACGTGGGCTTTGCCACGCTGCCCAACCAGGTGCATCGCAAGTCGGTGAAGAAGGGCTTTGACTTCACCCTCATGGTGGCAGGTACGGGGGTCCAGCCAGCCTGGGGTGCTGACCCCACCCTGCATCCCAAACACCCTGCACTGGGGAGGGGGATCCTGGCTGCCCCCTCATCTTTGTCCCTCTTTCTCAGGGGAATCCGGGCTGGGCAAGTCCACCCTGGTCAACAGCCTCTTCCTGACGGACATGTACAGGGACCGCAAGCTGCTCAACGCCGAAGGTCGGGGACAGTCACGGCCCACAGGGGTGTCCTGGGTGACCTGGGCAGTGGCAGAGCCCAGGGATGCTCTGGGGGCTGCAGCCCCTCTCCCTGCCCTGAAATGACATGTGCTGTGTTGCCAGCTGCCCACTGGCACTGGGGACCGCTCTGAGGCAGTGAGAGCCCCCCTGCACAGCATGGGGACTCCCCACGGGGACTTTATTCCCCGGGGAAAACAAGCCCTGGCTTGTTGGGGATTGGCTGGAGCTGCAGCATTTCTGGGAGGCTGGGGACAGTCAGGGCCTGGAGCACAGTGCCAGTTCAGCTGCAGCCAGTTTTTGAATTAAAATGGCCCAAAGTTGCCCAAATCCCCAGGAGGGGTTTGTTTGATTTGTTTCCGTTGCTTGGAGTGAAAGCCAAAACACACAATGCAGCAGGAGCATCCTGGGGGATGCAGGGACATGGAGGGTCCTGGGGTGAAGGGGCACGTGCACTCTGGAGCTGTGGGGTCACCTGAAATGCTCCTGAGCAAGGCCCAGCCCCAGCAGAGCCCTGTGCTGCCTGAGCTGGGCTCTGGGGTGGCAGTGGCACAGCCACCAAGGGATGGCTGCCCACCATCCGTGGGGATGTGGGGACCACAGCATGGAGCATCCTCTCCTTGCTGGAGCAGGGCATGTGTCAGGGCTGATCCAGCAGGGACACCCAGCCCCAGGGTGGGGGATGGCGCTTGGGGGTTGCAGCTTGTCACCATGGTGTCCCCCTTGGTGACGCGTGTCCCTCCCCACAGAGCGCATCACGCAGACAGTGGAGATCACCAAGCACGTGGTGGACATCGAGGAGAAGGGGGTCAAGCTGCGCCTGACCATCGTGGACACGCCGGGCTTTGGGGACGCCGTCAACAACACCGAGTGGTGAGTGCCATGGCATGGGGACTGTCCCCAGGGTGGGTGGGATGGTGAGTGCTACAGCGTGGGGACTGTCCCCAGGGTGCGATGGTGAGTGCCACAGCATGGGGACTGTCCCCAGGGTGGGTGGGATGGTGAGTGCCAGGTGTGGGGACTGTCCCCAGAGAGGGATGGTGAGTGCCACGGCATGGAGACTCTCCCCAGAGTGGGTGGGACAGTGAGTGCCACGGGGTGGGGACTGTCCCCAGGGTGGGACAGTGAGTGCCACAGCATGGGGGTCTCCCCAGTTGGGGGATAGCCCGTGGTGGGTGGGATGCCCATGGCTCACGGGGCTTAGGTGCTGAGCCATGGAGGTATTGAGCTGGGGGTCCACAGAGAGCAGGGGGGTCTCACAGAGTACTGGGTGTCACCTCACTGTCCCTGCAGCTGGAAGCCGGTGGCCGACTACATCGACCAGCAGTTCGAGCAGTATTTCCGTGACGAAAGTGGCCTCAACCGGAAAAACATCCAGGACAACCGAGTGCACTGCTGCATCTACTTCATCTCGCCCTTCGGCCACGGGTAGGGGCAGCCCCGCCCGCGCTGCCGGGGGCGGGCAGGGGCTCGCTGGGACCGGGCTCACCGGGCTCCCCCCGCAGGCTCCGGCCCCTGGACGTGGAGTTCATGAGAGCTCTGCACCAGCGCGTGAACATCGTGCCCGTGCTGGCCAAGGCTGACACCCTGACCCCCGCTGAGGTGGAGCGCATGAAGAACAAGGTGAGGGAAGCTGTCCCATCTCCTGCCTGGAATTTGCCCTGGAGCATTTTCCAGGCTCCAAGCACTGTAGAGGACCATGTTGTCCCCATGGCCACCAAGGACACATCTGCCCAGGGCTCAGCTGGGGGTTGGAAGAACTGGGGGTGTCCATGACATCTGGTCTGGTGGGACCAGGCTTTGGGGGCCATCGGCCCTGTGTGGTGCCTCCCATGCCCTTCCCGAGGCCAGAGCCCTGCCCTGAGGGAGCTGTTTGCCTCCAGATCCGGGAGGAGATCGACCACTACGGCATCCGCATCTACCAATTCCCTGAGTGCGACTCGGACGAGGATGAGGAGTTCAAGCTCCAGGACCAGGCACTGAAGGTGGGTCTGGCTCCTCCAGCTCCAATCACTGGAGGGGCAGAGCCCTGTGGCCAGGAGGACACGTCACCCTGGGGTACCTGCAGGACTCTTTGGGGCCATGCAGGCTCCCCAGCATGGAGGGGCTGGCACATGTCTCAGTACCCAGACATGTCACCAGGATCCCATGGGAGACACCTGCAGCTTGGTGGGATGGGGCTTGGGTGGGCAAACTCATGCCACAACCTCTGCTGTCCCACTGGGGCTCTCCACAGCCCGGCCTTTGGAATATCCTGGCAAACGGGTGCTGGACACAGCCGAGGAGGGCACATGGAGGGATGCAGGTCCTGACAGGTGGGGGTTGTGGCAGGGCCCTGCTGATCCCCCTACCCTTGCAGGAGAGCATCCCCTTCGCCGTCATCGGCAGCAACACGGTGGTGGAGGCCAAGGGCCGGCGTGTCCGTGGGCGCCTCTATCCCTGGGGCATCGTGGAAGGTAACGCGGGGCTGCCCCTGTGGGGACAGGGACACGGCTGGGACAGGCTGTGGGCCCTGACCCCGCGTCCCCCGCAGTGGAGAACCCGTCCCACTGCGACTTCGTGAAGCTGCGCACGATGCTGGTGAGGACGCACATGCAGGACCTGAAGGACGTGACACGGGAGACGCACTACGAGAACTACCGCACACAGTGCATCCAGAGCATGACCCGCATGGTGGTCAAGGAGCGCAACCGCAAGTACGGGCCGGGATGGGCTCTGGGGCTGGGCTGGGCTGGGGCTGGAGCTGGACTGGGGCTGGGGCTGGGGCTGGGCTGGGCTGGGCTGGGCTGTGCCAGGCAGCCCTGGTGTGATGAAGGGCCCCCCTCTGCCCTTAGGCTGGGAGTGCCTGGGGATGCTCTGGCAGTGAGGGGCCCTGGAAACCCTGAGGCTCGGTCTGTCTTAGCTGGCATATTCTAGCAGTGAGGGGCACCCTGTGACCCCGGAGTGGCTGTGGGAATGCTCCAGCAGCAAGGGGGACCCTGCATCTCCCCAGAGCTGGGGCTGGTTTCAGGGACATGTTCCAGCAGTGAGGGGGACCCCATGTGCCCTCAGGGCTGGGGCTGGGGCCAGGGCTGTGCTCTGGCAGCAAGGGGGACCATGTGTCCCCTCTGGGCTGAGTGTGTCTCCCCCGTCCTGCTGGGGCAGGGATGGCCCGTCCAGCACCGAGAGGGATCCTGCATCCCCCGGGGGCTGGCTGTGGGGGGATGTCTGGCTTCAACAGGGAGGGGCCCCTGCATCCTTGCAGGCTCCAGCTCCAGAGCAGGGGCCCAGCAAAAGCCGGTGCTGGGGTTCTGCTCGCCGATCAGCCGAATTCACAGCACCCACATCCACTTTAGCCAGCCCGAGGTGCTGAGGGAGCCCCCACCAGCAGGTCCCCAGTGGGACCCTCCAGCCGGGGGGTCAGAGCAGAGTGGGAGCGAGTGGAGGCTCTGTGGGTCCCGGGGGACTCGAGCCGTGCTGTGGGGGGCTGGCAGTGGCTGTAGGCACCTCTCTGGCACCTCTAAGTGTCTCTCCCTGTGTGCCCCGGGGCAGGAGCCATCCCTCCGTGCTGAGGCTGTGCTGCGGGGACTGCTCCGCCGACTGAGCCGGGACCGGCCGGGCCGCCCCGGGCCTGGCCCTGCTCGCCCTGCCACCCCCTGGCCCCTCTATAAAAGTGCTTGTTGGTACCCAACGCTGTCTTGGTCCTTCTGTGCCTGAGCAAGGCCCAGGCAGCTGCCCTCGGGGCCAGCCGGCCCTGTGGCCACCCACTATGGCCCTGTGGCCACCTGCTGGTGTCTCACACAAGCTGCCCCTGGGGTGCCAAAGGATGCTGTGTGCTGGTGGTGTCACCCTGGCTCACCCAGGTTTGAGGATGTGTCACTGTTAGGTGGCACTGAGTCCCCAAGGCTGCCCAAGGGACGGGTGCCCCCGTCGTGCTGCCCTCCCAGGGACGCCATTTTGGGGTGTTGAGAGCCTTTGCTGCTCACCCCATTGCCGGGCCCGGCTCCAGCTTCGTGTCGCTGCCAGGGCTGGCAGGAGCTCCAGGTGCTCCCCACGTCCCCAGGGCCAAAGCCGAGACAGCGGCAGCGCCTTCCAAAACAGCTCCCGAGGCGGCCAAAGCCCGGCCCTGGCGCTGCCCCAGCCCCCGGCACAGCGGGACCCCGCGGGCAGAGATGGCCCGTCCTGATGGGGCAGGGATGGCCTGTCCTGCTCAGACAGGGATGGCCCGTCGGGCTCCAGTCAGGGATGGCCCGTCCTGCTGGGACAGGGATAGCCCGTCCTGGTGGATCAGGGATGACCCGTCCTGCTCAGACAGGGATGGCCCGTCCTGATCCAGTCAGGGATGGCCCGTCCTGATTCATACAGGGATGGCCTGTCCTGCTGGGACAGGGATGGTCCGTCCCAGCCGTGTCCCAGCCGTGTCCCAGCCGTGTCCCAGCCATGTCCCACCCGTGTCCATCTCCCCTTTGCCCCGAGGGCCCGCGCTGACTGTGGCAATGGCACGTGGCAGCACGCGTGTCCCTGCCAGCCGCTCTCGGTGTCCCGGTTGTCCCCGCTGGGGTGGCACGTGGCATCCCCAGGCACGGGCTGAGGGCCGGTCCCTCCCGGTGCCACGGGAGAAGCCAGGCTGGGCTGGGCTGGGCTGGCCCGGCTGCCGCGCGGCCTCAGGGGGATGCTCGCGGCTCTCTCCGGCAGGAATGGGCTTGAATGGGGGCAGAGGCTCGGGAGCAGGGTGTGGGGCATCCCTGGGGCTGGCAGGGCAGTGGAGTGACTGGAGAGCCCATCCTGAGGCCGGGGGACAGAGGGGACATGAGGAGGTTTTGATGTTTTAAAGCAGCAGGGAAAATACTGCCCCAGGAGAGCCTAACCCCAGTGGGATTCTCCCCAGAATGGGAGGGTGTGGAGGAAGTCTCTGGGTCCCCCCTTGGTTGGTGCATGGCAGGTTGGGGGTGCTGAGGTTTGGGGGCTGCCTGGGGCCGCTCGCATCTTCCTCCAGCACTCTGAGGGTGGCCATGGGGCCCAGGGGCTGTGCGGGGGCTGCTGGGGCCCTGCAGGGGTTGGGGCATCGAGGGGGGACTGTCCCCGGGGAGCTGGGGCAGCACCGCCACCTTCTCTCTCTGCCCGCAGCAAGCTGACCCGGGAGAGCGGGACAGACTTCCCCATCCCCGTGATCCCCCCGGTGCCGGACGTGGAGACCGAGAAGCTCATCCGGGAGAAGGACGAGGAGGTGAGCCTGGGGCTGAGCCCCCACAACCCGTCCCCACTGCCCCCTGCCCGGCCATGGCACAGCCGTCAGGAGCCGCCCTTCCCGCAGCATCCCCAGCGAGCAGGGTCTGCAGGTGCACCCAGGGGTTCCCCCCACCCCTCCCTAGCTGGGCCATCCCAGTTTGTCCGGGATGCTCAGCCCGACCCCATTTGCTCGGGAGCAGCGTGCCTGGGGCTCGGCACCATCCACGATCCCGGCTCTGCTCCTTTCCAGCTGCGGCGGATGCAGGAGATGCTCCAGAAGATCCAGAAGCAGATGAAGGACTCACACTAGCCCGTCCCTCCTCCTCCTCCTCCTCGTCCTCCTCCTGGCCCCATCAGAAATGTTTACATCACGCTCCTCCCGCCCGGCCCCGCTGCCAGACTCGGTACCAGCACCCACCCACCACCTTAAGCTGCGGCATCGCCTTATCCAACCCCCAGCGCCCGCGGGGACACCCGGGGACAGCGAGGGGACACCGGGGACAGCGAGGGACAGGGCAGCCATCCCGGGGTCCCCTGCCCCGCTTCCCCCCACTCACTGGGGACAGCTCGGTCCCCCAGGCTTTGGTTTCCCGTTTCTCCACAGCTCTGGGGAGGGCCCTGGCCAGCCTGGTCCCCACAGCCTGTCCCTTGTCCCCGTGTCACCCTGGGCTCCCTGCTTACCGCCTTTATGCTCAGCTTGGCCCTGGCTTAAGGGAAGAGGAAAGGGGGGACACTGGTGCCAGGCCCCCAATGCCCCAGCTGCTGAGGGGGACAGGGCTGTTCCCCTGGCCTTGGCTGGCGTGGAGGGACAGCAGCTCCTGGGGACCACAGGGGACAGAGGGGGTGGAGGGACAGCCAAGGAACAGCCACCCTCCTGCTCCCTGCCAGCACCAGTGCAGGGGGACTGTGTCCAGCTCTGTGTCCTCACCCTGTCCCCACTGAGTGACAGCAGAGCTGTGGCACGAGGAGCACTGGGGAATTGGTGTCCCCAGGGAAAATCCCTTGAACCCCAAATCAGAGGCTGGGCACCCCCAGCCCGCCGTGATGTTGGCCCTGTAAAGCAATAATGAGTGTCCTGTGCCCCTGGCACCTCTCACCCCATGGCAACAGCACCGGCCCTGGCTGGAATTTCAGCCCCTGCTGCCACTTGCTTGTCTGTGGTGTCCTGTGTGCCCAGGATGTCCCTGTCCCTGCTGCTTCTTGGCACAGCAGCCCTGTGTATTCTCCAAGGATATCCCCATCTGTGCTACTTCCCAGCAAAGTGCTGCTGCGTGTCCCCATGTCCCCCATGGTGTTCCGATGTCCCCCACCATGTCCTGGTGGTGTTGCTGCCCTACAGAGCACTGCAGCTTGTTCCCCCCTCCCCGGACTGTCCCCATCTGTGTTTCTTTCCCACAGAGCTACGTTGCATCTCTGTGTCCCCCCGGGATGTCCCCAGCCATGTCACCACCCTGCAGGGCTCTGTGCAGTGTCCCTGTGTCCCCAAGGATGTCCCCAGCTGTGTTGCTTCCTGCAAAGCCCCACTGTGTGTCCCCAGGGTGAGCCCTGGCCACCCCTCCAGGATCCCCAGGGAGACGGATCCAAACCCCTCCGGGTCCGGGAGAGCCTGCAGGGGATGGGGAGGATGCAGCAGGACTGGGAGCACTGGGAGCAGTGGGAGCAATGGGAGGAGTGGGATCAGTGGGAGCAGTGGGAGCACTGGGATGAGCGGGAGCAGTGGGATCAGTGGGATCAGTGGGATCAGTGGGAGCAGTGGGATCAGTGGCAGCAGTGGAAGCAGAGCGATCAGCAGTATCAGTGGGATCAGTGGGATCAGCAGTATCAGTGGGACCATTGGCAGCAGTGGGATCAGTGGGATCAGTGGCAGCAATGGCAGCACTGGGATCAGTGGCAGCAGTGGGATCAGCAGTATCAGTGGGATCCGCAGAGCTCGCTGCCCTGGTAATGTCTCCTGTCCCCATCAGGGTCCCCTTGCCAGGTCCCCGGGCGGGGCGTGGCTGGCGGGGCCGTGCCCGGCCGGGGCTCGGGGCTGGGGCTGCAGGGTGCCAGGGCAGCACCCGGCCTGTGCCCGCCGTGCCCCCATGGGCAGGGCCCCCCGGGCAGGGCCCTGCAGGGAACATTTAGCGCTTTCCTTTTTTTAATCTCGCTATTTTCTTACAGAAGCCCCTCCCCTGGCATGACGGTCCTAGAGGCGTTTATTAACGGATCAGAGAGTATAGGTTTATAAATTCTTATAGAGTAGTGGAAATATTTTTATCCCTCCACAACCGTTCTCAATAAATACGGCTGACCTGGCTTGTCTGCAACCCCTTGTGGCTTCCACCAAATGGGGGCACCCTGTGGCCCTGGGCATCCCCCATCCCTGGGCACCTCACAGCCCTGGCCATCCCACATCCCTGGGCACACCACAGCCCTGGCCATCCCACATCCCTGGGAATCCTCCATCCCTGGCCATCCCCTGGTCCTGGCCATCCCACGTTCTGAGGCTGGTGGTGGCCCACCCTGTGGCCTCTTGTTCCCAATTCCTGTTCCCTTGCAAAAGGCTCAAAATGGGTGCTGGGGGGGTTTGTGCTGCACTCACAGGGACACCCAGCTTGGGGTGTGGTGGGAGAGCCCCTTGGGATCCAGCTCTGCGATGAGGGGGCACAAGGAGGGGTCTCCCCCTCTCGTGTGCCTTGGGGTGCTGCTGCTGTGGGGCTGGGATGGGAGTGGGGAGGGCAGAGCCTGAGCAGGGACGGAATTGCCCTCCACGTGCTGCCTCTGGGCCCCCTTGTGTCCCCCCACCAGTGGGGCAGCCCTGCCAGGAGATACCACCAGTACCTGCGCCCAGCCACCCCAGTTTGGGTCCCCCAGGACCTGCTGGGGTGGAGGAGCAGGAGGAGTGGGCAGAGCAACACAGGAATGGATGGGCTGCATCTCCAGCTGCCAGCCAGAGGGCATCATCCACCTGCATCCCGTTATCCCACCCTGCACCCCAATATCCCAACATCCCACCCCTGCCTCTGCATCCCCTCCCTCTCCTCCCCACAGAGCCCTTGGGCTGATCCAGCCCAGCTGAGTGCAGGGTCAGGGAGCTGGGACAGGGCCAGCCCCAGGGCCACACAGACTGGGGAGGGAGGGAGGGAGGGAGGGAGGGATGGATGGATGGATGATGGATGGATGGATGATGGATGGATGGATGGCTGGATGATGGATGGATGGATGGATGGATGGATGGATGGATGGATGGATGGATGGGTGAATGGATGGATGGATGGATGAGAACTGAGGGTTCTGGTGGGTGACAAACGGGACATGAGCTGGCCATGGGCACTGGCAGCCCAGGGAGCCAAGTGTGTCCTGGGCTCCTCCCATCATGGTGGGCAGCAGGGGAGGGAGGGGTTGCTCTCCCTCTGCTCTGCTCTCCCGAGACCCCTCTGGAGCTGCCTCCAGCTCATCCCAGCACAGACATGGAGCTGGTAGAGCAGGCCCAGAGGAGGCCACCAAAATGGTCTGAGGTGGTCCCTGGTCCTTGCTGTGGAGGAAAGCTGCCTCATGGGACCTGCCAGCCCCAGTCCTTGCTCTGCTGCCAGCCACTTCTCCCCTTGCTGAGGGTCAGAGCAGGGACCCCACCTCCCTGGGGTCCTTCCCTCCTTCACCAGCACTGCCTCAGAGCCACCTTGCTTGGCCCAGGGTGCTGAGCTGTGATGCCAATTCCTGCTCTTCACCAGGCCAAACCCCCCCATTCCCCCCCATGAACCCTCTTATCAACATGGAAATGGAAAATGTTTGTGCTTCCTTGGCTGGAAGCAGCTCTTACCCCAAAGGCTGGGATACACAAACCTCCCACATCCCACCATTGCAGCTCCAGGAAGGATCCCCTGGCTGCCTTTTCCTCCCCAGAACAGCCAACAGAGCCTCTGCTTTTGGTCCCAGACTGGCTGATTTATCTGGTTCCTGTTTTCCCAGAGGATAAAACCCAGCACTGATGCTCCAGTGACATCCCCAGCTGTGCCCACCCTTCCCTGCACTCCATTCCATGTGATTTTCATCACACCTTTAAAAATAAAAAGCCCCAAACCCACTCAAACCCAGCCTTCCCAAGGCAGAGATTGATATTTCCACATGGCAAATGCTTCCATGCAATTCCCCAATGTCCTATTTTTGGTTTCTCACCAGTCCTGGCACTGGTTGCAGCATCCGTGCTGGAGCTCCAGCCAAGCTCAGAGGAAGGGAATAAAGGTTTCTTAGGGCAGAGAAGGAAATCTCCCATCTCCTTCCCTGGGCTGTACCACCCATGCCTGACACCTAATGAGACCTCAGGTGACATCAGTCCTGTTGTTTCCCTTTCCCCTCCTTTCCATTTCCCTTTTCCCCCTCCCTTCCCTACTTATTCATTTGTTCCTTACATAATTAATTATATTTTCCCCCCATGGGAGAGCCCCTGCAGTTCCACCTTTTCCCATATTTTCCAATCCAGAAACCAAGGCACTGCCTCTGGCTCTTTCCCCCCCCTCTAGTACCTCTTCTCCACCTGTCACATCCATTCCTGGTGCCACCTCTCCTGGATCCAGGGGAGTCAGGAGCAGTCACTCCGATTACATTGGGCTCTGTCTCTCCTGGATCCAGGGGAGCCAGGAGCAGAGCCAGGAGCAGTCACCCCAATTGCTCCCATTCCCATCTCTCCTAGATCCAGGGGAGCCAGGAGCAGTCAATTCCAATTGCTTCCATTCCTGTCTCTCCCAGATTCATGGTAGCCAGGAGCAGTCACCCTGATTGCTCCCATTCCCACCTCTCCCATTCCCAGAGGAGCCAGGAGCAGTCATTCTGTTGCTCTCATTCCCATCTCTCCCAAATCCAGGGGAGCCAGGAGCAGTCACCCCAATTGCTCCCATTCCCATCTCTCCCATTCCCAGGGGAGCCAGGAGCAGTCACCCCAATTGCTCCCATTCCCATCTCTCCCATTCCCAGAGGAGCCAGGAGCAGTCATTCTGTTGCTCCCATTCCCATCTCTCCCAAATCCAGGGGAGCCAGGAGCAGTCATTCTGTTGCTCCCATTCCCATCTCTCCCAAATCCAGGGCAGCCAGGAGCAGTCACCCCAGTTGCTCCCATTCCCATCTCTCCCAGATCCAGGGCAGCCAGGAGCAGTCACCCCGATTGTTCCCATTCCCATCTCTCCCAGATCCAGGGGAGCCAGGAGCAGTCACCCCAATTGCTCCCAGCTCCATCTGTGTGCCCAGGAGCTGCTGGCTGGGGGTGAGAGCCCTTCCCTCCTCTGGCAGCCGTGATGAGGGATTTGGATGTGGTGTCTGAACACATCCAGTGGATGCTCCTGATGGAGCAGGTAGGTAGTCCTTGCATCCTCTGCTCAGGGCAGGAGCAGCTCAGAGAGGTGAACCCCCTTTGCTGGTGCTCTGTCCCTCCTGTAAAGGCAGCTAAACCAGCCCTGAATGGGACACAGGCTGGAGCCTCCAGCCAGCTCCAGCTCTTCCATACCTTTTCCCACTTCCCTGTTCCCCACAGCTGGTGTGGAAAGACCAGACCAAGAGCTTGGCACATTTCTCAGGCTGGGAGAGCTGTGGGTGCTCACCTGGAGAGGAGAAGGCTCCAGGGAGAGCTCAGAGCCCCTTGCAGGGCCTGAAGGGGCTCCAGGAGAGCTGGAGAAGGACTGGGGACAAGGGATGGAGGGACAGGACCCAGGGAATGGCTCCCAGTGCCAGAGGGCAGGGCTGGATGGGATATTGGGAAGAAACTCTTCCCTGTTAGGGTGGTGAGGCTGTGGTGGGCACACAAGAACACGACAAGAACAGATGGATATGCAATCACAGCCTGGTCTTTACTTGCAGAGGAGCCCACCTGTGGCTGTGGATTCTGGGAAGCTCCATGAGATGCCTTTACTGACACGTGATGTTATTTCTGGAGCTTCCCTGAAAAACCCCAGGTTGTGCTGTGTTTTGTGAAGATAATGCCCATTCCACGAGACCCACCAGGAGCAGTGCTGAGAGGCCGGGGAGCAGCAGCTGCTCCTCCCTCGCTGGGGATGTCATTGATGATGCCAGCAGGAAGCACAGAGCAGAACAGGCAGGGAAAGGCTGCTCTGATGCTGACATTCCCTGTGGAAGGGGACAAGGTGCCCCTGTCCCGGCTGTCTGTCCAGGAGCACAGGCAGAGCCCCTCGGTCCTGGCTGTTCCTGGACAAACAGCACCATCTATTTGCAGCATGAGAGCAGAGGGGGCACGGCAGGTGCCCCTCAGCAGGGCTGGGGATCCCACTCTGGAGCAGCAGCCTCTGCTGTCCTGGGTCACACTGGGACCTTCCTGACCCCCAGACCCTCCTGCAGCCCTGGTGACACCTGGGGCTTGCTCCAGGCTCAGGGCAGGAGTTCAGGACACGAGTGCAGGAGCAGGGAGGGGAGAGGCTCCAGGCTGGGGGCTCAGCTCAGCTTTGGGTCTCTCCTTCCTGGGGAGGCTCTGCCCTTCCACTCCCATGCACGGACATGGGGACCCTCATCCTGGGACCCCACAGGACTCAGCCATTCCCCTCATTTCCCCATCACTGGCTCAGACAGCTCCAGTCCCTGAGGCATCAGAGGTCCCAGGAAGGTGTTGGCCCCACAGCACTAAGGGGGAGAAAGCCAGGCCAGCCCCAGCTTTGCTCCAGGGGCTGAATCTGTCCCTAAGCCAGCCCATGTCCACCTCCAAACCCAGCTCAGAACCCCTCAGGATGGACCCCAACACGTTGTGAGTGACAGAAGTGACCTAGGACCTGTTCCAGCCTTACCATGGAACTGGGAGGAATGAAGAATATCTGATTTATTAAACCTGCTGGGAAAAGCAGACTGAGAAAACTCAGCTCAAGGTGCTACTGCTGGGAAAAGGGTAAAAGGGGTGGCCTGAGGCCTTCAGAGCTCACACAGAGAAACCACTACTTCTTCTTGCGACGCCGGGTGTTCATGCGGATCAGCTGCTGCCCCTGCTTCTTGATGTCCTCCCTGCTGGGGACGTAGTCCTCTTCCTCCTCCTCAAAATCCAAGCTGTCTGCAGGGGAGAGTGGAGAGGAGGGGCTGGGGAGGGTCTGGAGGCCACCTCTGCTGTGGCCATGTCCCTGGGACAGCTGGCACGTTTTGTTGGGCTCGTGGGATCCAGGAGAGTCCTCATGGACCTTTCCACCCCAGCATCCCAGGGTGATCTGGGGGACCTGTGATGCCACCACTGTGGCCCATCTCCATTACACTGCTGGGGCTTCCCATAAAGGTCTGGAGCTGCAGTGTGGTGGGCACAGCTCCTGCTTTGCTAAAGAAAGGTGGTGAGCTGCTAAAAGCTCTTTGCCTCTTCCAGGAGCATCCACAGGCAGAACCAAGCACTGATTATTCTTCACAACCAGGTGATTTTGGAGATGAGGGTGTTCCCTCTTGCCCCACGTCTCTCCTTGTTCCTGCAGTAGCTTGGTGGTCATCATGTCACCACCTGCCTTCATTCTTCTCCACCCCTGCCTAAAAACACCACCCACATCTGAGGTTTTGGAAACAGCCAAGGTCAGCCTCAAGACCTGGAGGCAATTTGTGGGTTGGTGTCTGCTGGGAGACAGACAAGGACTCCCCCCATCCCAGGGGGCAGGGCTGGAACAGTCACTGTAGGACACATCCCCACTGTGCTCTCCTACCAGGTTCCGTAGCGCCCTCATCCTCAAAAGTAATCCTCAGGTTCTGTTTTTCACCTGCAGTTCTTTCCTCCAGAAGGTTCCTGACCTTGGCAAAAGTCTGTGAAAGACAGCCTGGGTTGAGTGCTGGGGGGCAGGTGGGTGCTACAACCCAAGCACCACGGGTGCCCAGTGCCATCAGGGCTGAGCTGCTCCATGGCCCTTCCCTGTGGCCTTGCTGAGAAGGATGGCTTGGGTGGCCTTGGTCTGGGAGGGCCCTGAGTGTGTCCCCAGGGCCACCGAGCCCCCGTACCTCGCTCTGCTCATCAGGGCTGTCCTCAGGCCGGGCTGCCGCCTGCTCCTTCAGGAACCGCATCTTCTGTTCACAGTGCTGCAGCTTCTGCTCCATCCCCTGCACCTCACCTGAGTCCTCCTGGGGGGACACAGACACCTCGGTGGGGACAGCCAGGCTCTGGTGGCAGCGGTGGCTGTGCCAGGCGTCCCTGTGCTGTCCTGCCTGCATGGCCCTGCTCCCCTGGAGCCCCGTGGTACCTTGCCAGGGATGGAGATGCCCTGCAGGCGGAGGAACATGTTGTCAATGATGTTCTCAAACTCAATCAGGCGCTTCTGGTTGTTCAGCATGTGGGCTCTCATCTGCTCCAGCCGGGCCTCCTCCTGCCTCAGCTTCTCCCTCAGCTCCTCCTCCTGCATGCTGGAGCCAGCCACACTCACATCACACAGCTGCACAGGGGTGCAGGGACACCCCAAACCTGCTCCAAAAGCTGTTCGGGCTGCCCCACCCCAAGTGCAGGCCAGCTCCATGCTGCTGGCAGCACTTCCCATGCCCAGCAAGGAGAAAGGGAGCTAGGGGACCCCAGTGGGAGCTTTGGGTGCTCTGCCCTGCCAGCAGCAGAGCTGGGAGCTCAGAGACCCTTCCCAGTGCGGGAGGAGTGCGTGGCTGCAGTGGGGTGCAGGTCAGGATGCCTCTTGGGACATGTCCCCCCCTAAGGTGGTGGCCTGGCTGGCACTAGTGTGTGAGGCCAGCAGCACCTGGCGGTGCTGACAGGTTGGTTGAACTTCAGTTGGGCCTGCTTGGACTCCAGGTTCTGCAGGGTCTTCTTCAGCATGTTCTTCTTCTCGTTGCACTCATCAATGTGCTGCTGCAGGTTCTCCAGGGATTTCCTCTGTGCCTCGATGCTGCTGGGGATGTCCTGGCCAGGGGAGACACAAGGGCTCAGCCCAAGGTGCTCCTGCTGGAGGCCTCGGGGGGTTACAGCACTATGGAGCTCTGTGGTTCCTGCTCATGGGGAAGGACAGTGCCTGCCTGCAAACTGGGGCTTTGTGGGGCTCCAGGGAGAGAAGAGCAGATAACTGCACAGGGAAATGGGGGGAGCAGAGAGGCTGCAGCTCCCCAGAGCTCCAGCAGCCCCAGGTTTTAGCAGGGATGGGTTCTCCATTACCCAGAGGCAGGAGCACTGCAGGGCAGTCTTTGCCTTCTCCATCTTGTCGGTCACAAAGGCCTCGCGCTGCATCCTGGCCATGGCGGCCTCCACGTCAGCACCTGGGGCGGCAGGGAAGGGACAGGGTGTCCAGGGATGGAGCAGGGCAGGGTGTCCAGGGAAGGGGCAGGGTGCCCAGGGATGGAGCAGGGCAGGGTGTCCGTGGCTGTGCCCACATCCCCCCGCCCTGCCCCCTGCCAGGCACTCACCCATCAGCGTTTCTGAGGAGCTCTGGTCCTGCTCTGCAGAGAGCATGGACACAGCTTGCTGCAAGGACAGTCACTGTCACCCCTGGGGGCTCAGCACTGCAGGCTGCCGCTGCCCCCAGCCCTGCCTGCCCCACAGCCCAGCTCACCTCCCCACACCCCAGCTCACCTGCCCCACACCCCAGCTCACCTCCCCACCCCCAGCTCACCTCCCCACACCAAATTCACCTGCCCCACACCCCCAGCTCACCTGCCCCACACCCCAGCTCACCTCCCCACCCCCAGCTCACCTCCCCACACCAAATTCACCTGCCCCACACCCCCAGCTCACCTGCCCCACACCCCCAGCTCACCTGCCCCACCCCCAGCTCACCTCCCCACACCAAATTCACCCGCCCCACACCCCCAGCTCACCTCCCCACCCCCAGCTCACCTCCCCACACCAAATTCACCTGCCTCACATCCCCAGCTCACCTGCCCCACAGCCCAGCTCACCTCCCCACCCCCAGCTCACCTCCCCACACCAAATTCACCTGCCTCACATCCCCAGCTCACCTGCCCCACAGCCCAGCTCACCTCCCCACCCCCAGCTCACCTGCCTCTGCTGCCTCTCCCTCTCCTCCTGGCGCCGCAGGCTCTCGAGGTGCTTCTTCTGCTCAGCCAGGGACTGGTCCCTGAGCTGCTTCTCCACACGGACCCGGGGCCCTGCCTCAGCCATGAGTTTCTGGAGCATAACAGAGAAGGGAGGAGTTGCTGCCAAAGATGGTTGGAGCTTTCTGCAGATTGGTTATTAGGTTCAAGTATTGGTTTAGATCGAGATGTGGGAAGGAATTGTTCCCTGCGAGGGTGGTGACACCCTGGCACAGGGTGCCCAGAGCAGCAGTGGCTGCCCCTGGATCCCTGGCAGTGCCATTGGCAGTGCCAGGGTTACATTGGACAGGGTTGGAGCAACCTGGGAGAGCGGAAGGTGTCCCTGCCATGGCAGGGGGCTGGAATGAGATGAGTTTTAAGGCCCCTGCTAACCCAAACCATTCCATGAATCTGTGATTTGAGCTCCTGGATGAGCTCCTGAGATGCCCAGTATCAAAAGTGACCCCAGTCCATGCAAACAGGCTGTGAAGGAAGCTTGGCAAGGCAGGCTGGGGTGTGGGACACACTGCCTTTGCCATGGCTGGTGCTTCAGACAGGCTGACCCCAGCCCCAGGGGACAAGAGGGAGACCTGGCAGGACCTATGGAGGCCTCTGGGTGCTGTGGGCAACCTCAGCTGCGCCTCTTTTGCCCCTTGCTGAAGGAAGGCTCTCAGGTACGTGGCGCTGTCTGTGGGCACTGGAGGGCGGGAAAGGGCCCCAGTTATCTCACCTTGATGACTCTGTTGGGTAGGACGGTAGTCTTGCTTGTGAGCTCCTCGTGGTACATCACAGTCATCCCAGACAGGAGGTCCAGGTATCGAGGCTGGTACACCAGCTCCTGGCACACAGGGAGCCACAGCACGTCACCCACCGGGGTGCCCCATGCTGTGACAGGGCACGGAGGGGACACAGCCCCTTGGGCACCCTGTGCCTTGGCAGGGAGAGCAGGTGAAATACTGGCTCAGTGAGGAGGAGCTCACCCTCCTCAGGACCTCCTGCAGCCTCAGGTACAGGTTGGTGACAATCTCTCCACTTTGAATTTTCATGAGCATCTTCTCGATGTCATTGCCCAGCTGGCGAATGGTCTGGGGCAGACACCGGGGGAAGGCACAGAGTGACTGTGTGTGCCAAGCCCAGTGCCAGGCCCAGTGCCCAGCTGGGGGTGCAGGGCTGGATTAAAGCCCCCATGGGTGTTCCTGCCCTCCACAGCAGGAAGGGCTCCCAGGTACCTGCATCTCCACCTCTTTCCACTTAGGGTCAGCCTCAGCATCCTGCAGATCCTGCAGGCGCCTCTGGCGCTCATCCCTGGCTTGGCTCCACAGCTTCAGCTGGTGCAGCAGCATGTCACACGCCTTCACCTGGTCATGGATTTTGGCCTCCATCTTCTTTACGGCCACCTGGATGGGCATGAGACCATTTTCCAGGCTGGATGCTGCAGAAGGGGATGCTGCCCAGAAAACTCCCCCCAAGGCAGAGCTGGGGACACTGAGATGCTGCTCCAGGATGTTGTCACTGGTTTGACAGGATGGGGTCTGGGAGAGCTTTGCTCTGGGGGCTCGCTGGGTGGGCAACTGCTGGTGGCAGGGCTGGGCTTAGGGACTCTGCACAACATGGAGCAGGGCTGGGGATCAATAAAATCGATCAGGGCCCAGATGGGGATGTTGTCAGAGAGCAGCAGCACCGCTCTGTTGCTGCACAAGGCCTCTGGGCAAAGGCAGCTCTGTAGGCACAGCCTCGATGTCCACGGGTTTGTAACCAGGGCACAACCTTGGGACAGGCAGTGAAGGGCAGGGACAGCATCTCTGTTCTGTAGGAACACGGGCAGTGCCAGGGACATGGGGGTGGGACAGCAGGGAGGTCTGCGTGTCCCGTGGGACTAGATGTGAACACCCCGTGTCTGCACAGCAGCCCCGTGGGGCTGTCCTGGTGCTGGCAGCATGTCCCTCTGCCGTGCACTGTTCTCAGTGTCCCCAGAGCCCCAGCCCCTGCTTCCAGCCCTGCTGTTACCTCTAGGCTCTCAGTGCCTGAAACGAGCTCTCCGAAGGCATCCTTAATGGGGAGTTTGTTGTACTGTGGGCAGGGAGGGACAAAGATGGTCAGCCAGGGAATGACACACCTTTTGCTGGCCTGTGCTGCCAGCTCCTGGAGGAGCTGGGGGTGCAGGGCCAGCACCAGGCAGGGGTGCAGCAGGAGGGACCTCCTGGTACCTTCAGGACAAAGTTCAGGAAAGTGGAGTCCTCCTGCAAGGCCTTCTGCAGGCTGGGGATCAGCTCCCTGTTCTGCCGGAGCTTCTCCTCGCAGGACCGAGCGAAAATCCTCCTGCCTTGATCTGGGGGACATCAGGCAGCCAATGGCAGCGCGTGGGACGAGGGGGCTGTGCCACCCCCGTCCCCGAGCAGCCCGAGGCAGCACCTTGCAGGCCCACGAGGATATGCATCTCCTGGTTGCGCTGGTTCAGGTCGGGCTTGGGGCCCCACGTGCTGCCGGGGAGCTCCATCCCTGGGCCCATTCCCAGATCCCCTGGCACAGCTGCCGAGGCCCTGCTGCCCCCGCAGCGTTGTGAGCGCACGGTTCCACCGTGGAACTGTCACCTTGTCACCTTGTCACTGGCAACTGCCACCGGCCACAAACCTCCTGCTCAGCATGGCCCAGCCCCCTCCCCAACACTGCTGCAGGGAACAGCTTCATTAACAACTGACTAATGAGCTCCTGGAAGGGGCCAGAGAAGCATTCCAGCTTTGTCTCCCATTGTCGTGGCAGTGGCAGCTGTCAGGGATCATTCTGAGCCCCACTCGGAATGGGGCAATGCCAGGGCAAACATATGTGCCTGTGTACCCAAACACACCAGCAGCGCTCTCCTGGAAGCTGCCAGCTTATTTAAATACCCACCTATCTGAAAATTCCAGTTAATTAGCCAGGAAACGGTTGTGCAGGGAGTTATGGTCTTCTTGGAATGGGCAAAGACATCCAGTTACCAATCCTGAGCTTTATTCTGATGCTCACCATATGTTCTTGCTGAACTACAAACATAACAAGAAATGCCAGCATGTATCTTTATTTGTCCATAAATAAACTCAAGCTCCCTCTACCAGAGAAAATCCTTAATGTCTGGATTTGCAGAAAAAGACTTTATAAAGGAATTGCCTTCCAAGCACCAAGCTCATGAATCACCTTAGATTCAGTTCTGGAACTCCAGATCTTTAACCTGCTGCCATCCTGTTGTGCTCAAGGTGTTAAACACAGCAAACCAAGAAATTAAAGAATTGTGAATCAGGTATTACTGACACAATACCCTCTGAGGCTTTTGCTCAGCATCTTATTTGCATATTTATGAATTGCATGTTAGTGCTAATTTCCAGTGACAAGCTAAATATCAACATGATCATCTTCAGTGCTTCCCAAAGTGTGTCTGGAGAGAGGGGCACATGAAGGCAGCAGCCCAGGGTGGTGCCCAGGGGAGCTGCCTGTGCACACAGAGCTCTCCACACCGAGCCCTGTCCACAGGGCACATCCAGTCACTGCACCCCTGCATTCCCTAGGCAGCATTTAAACCTCTGGGAGCAAACAAAAGCATTTTAAAATGGATAAAGTGGTTCAAGAATCTCTGTTTCACCTGCCCTCAGCAAAACTCAGGCTCTAGAGAGGCAGATCCTCCCAAAATACTGCTGAAGGAATTGATCCCAGCCTTGCACGAGTGCACACAAATTGGCTGCTGCAGAAATCCACTCCCAAGGGGCAGCCTTGCACTGAGGCTCCAGCCCTGCAGCCACCTCACATGCCAAACCTCCCCTCCTCCAGCTGATTTCCACTCTCCCTGATGAAATTCCATGAAATTCACAATGAGTTAAAGGTGCAGAGGAAAGGTCAGCAGCACAAACCCAGCTCTGTTTGACTGTCACAGAAGGGGGGAGTCTCTGGAAGGCAACAGCAACCAAAGAGCACCAGGCTCAGCTGGGAGAGACCTCCCAGACTGGCCCACAGCTCCTCACCTGCTGCCTGCTATCTGCATGAAACAGGAATGTCATATTAAAGGCTCCTCAAATTCCTGCTGATTTAGCTTTAAGTCACTGAACCATATCTGCTTTGCCTGGTGGTTTGTATTTTTAGTATCTCCTTCCCCCATTGTTGTCCTCTCTTCCCCTTTTCTTTGCAATACCCCAGTTCAACTTTAAATCATTTGTTTAACACAGCTGCAGCAAGATTTAACAGAATTAGCAAGAACTATATCCCATGCCTCAGGAGCTGGCTGGTAATTCTGTGCATGGATTAGAGAGCAGCAAAAAAAAAAAAAAGACAGAGGATAAAGGACAGCTGCCAGAATTGTTCTGTTGCACTAAAAAGCAAAGGGGCACACACAAACAATTCCTGCTGGGAATTACTGTCCAACAAAAGCCTGTCTGGCTCCATGGCCAGAGGCCACCACTGCCTGAGATTCATTTTATCATGTGAAAGCAGCAGCCCCCAAGCACAGGCTACTCCCTCAGCCTGCAAAAGCATTGCCACAGCCAGGGATCTCTCCTCTACTATTAACAAAAATAAGTATCTTCTTTCTTTCTGTATCTATAATATATAAATAGATGATAATCTGTTTTTATTAATGTAGCTAAATATATTCTACAAATAAGTTATTTGGAGAACATCATCTCTATGTCAGCAAGTGCAGCTACAGCCAGTGAAGGAATTCTTTATGAATGGTCCTTTGAAGTACTTTAATTACCAAATAGCCAATTATGGAAGCCTAAGTCAGTTTTCACACTGTCAAGACACTGATTTTAGACATGATCCACACTGCACCTGTTTAGAAGTGAAAAATGCAACTTTCTTTTCTTAAGGTCCCTCTCCTCACATACAAAGCCACTCCTCAGCAACCAGTGCAATCTCCCACTCAACACTGACAACCTGAGGGTACAAACAATTGGCACCAAATCACTCAAACACTTTTCAACAGCAACGCTGAAACTGAAGCACAGCCAGAGTAACCTCCTACCACACCCTAACTCAGTTCTTATTAGTGCAACTCTGACACAAAATCTTCTTACAGGCAAAGACATCTGTAAACCAAGCAAGTGTAAAATGATAAAAAAAAACCCAACCCACACTGCATGGAAAAATCCCAAAGGATTAGTGTCAGAAAATGTTTGGCAGCAAGAGATTGGAAAAAACCATGAAGGCCTAACAGAAGAGTGGCTACACCAGTCACTGCAGGGAGGGTGTTGAAGCAGATCTGCTGCAGGAAGATTTTGTTATTCAAGCTTTTCATCTCCTTCCTCCACATCCTTCAGGCTGAGCACTTCCAGGGATCCTTTCCCTTTTGTCTCACTGCGGATCAGCTCATCGATCTCCCTGAAGCAGCCTGGGTCAATAAGGCACACCTGCAATGTTCCGCATTTCATCAGTCAGCCAAGAATGTTTGCATTTCCTCAGCCCTACCCAAGGCCTAGCGTTCACTTTCATTAAAACAATCCTAGTTAGTTACTGAGGAGGACTCTGAAGAGTTGACAAACTCTGTCTGGCAGTAAACCTTCCACAGAGCTCTACAGTTCCAGCTCCCCATGCTGGACATGGATTTTGCCAGTTGGATTGCTGGACTCTAATCTGTTTGTATGAAGATTTTAAAACCAAATTTTGCTTTACTACCCACCAACTTAAAAAAAAGAAATTAGCCACCCTTAAAATCTAGACAGAAGCCACCCAAATAAGTAACAATAACATTTCACATATGAGAGAGACTTATCAGTGTTGCAGGACCATCACTGCTAAGGGGAATTGCACTGTGCACTCCTCAGCTTGGAGCAGCAACCTCTGGATGCCAAAGGCTGCTTCCATACCCACATCACTAGGATTGTGTGAAATTAAAAATTCCCAACCACAGCTCTCATTCAGGATCTTGGGTAAACCTTCAGTTTATCTAAACAGCTTCCATTTATGAATTCATCTCCTAGTAAAATACACGTGTAGTTCAAATCAAACTTGAACCCCAGGGACTGCTTTTTGCTTACCATTTCCAGCTGTTCCTGGAAGTCTTCACTCTCAGTAACTTTAATCAGTGGCTTCAGCTTCTCTTTCAGTTTCTTGCCCTCCTTTGCTGGCAGGATAAACCTCAGCCTCATGTGAGCACGTTCAATCTGCATGGTCTCCTTCAGCTGCCTGATCACTTCCAGGGCCTGTTGGACAAGAAAAAGACCACTTGCACACCTGCTTAAAACCCAGCACCAAGATCCAAATCTCAAACCAGCTTCAGAGCAATCTCTCAGTGCTGGTCACTGCTGCTCTGCTATCAGACTCTTTTGACAGATGAACAAGAAAAGGCTGACTTGTTGTTTGTGATCACTTTGAACACTTAAAAGCTGTCTAAAATAAAATTAAATAGCTAGACTGCAACACATCACAAACCCACATGGCTCAGATGCAAAACTGGTATACCTCCTCAATTAGCGTAAATCATAAACCTTTTATTTCTGCTCTAAGTGTATCACTGTTGGTTTTTCTCCTTTTTTTTCTCCCCTCCCTGAATTCCTAGCAAACAAATTGACAGAGTTTCAGGAGCTGCTTCTCGGCAGCACTCAGCTGCCAGATGGCTGAGTAATCCCTGTGCAGGCCTCAGATCCCAGCACTCTGCTGATCCCTCTGTGATGGGACCCGAGGAATTGCACTGGATGGCAGCACCTCGGAGCAGGAGCTGCTCCTGCAGGAGCCTCACCTGCTGCTTTGTGCTCTTGTTGGGTTTGACAGAGTAGTGGATGTCCTTCATGGCCCTCTCGATGAGGATCACAGTGTAGGGCCGCTTGGTCTCGGGGTTCACGCACTTGTCAGCCACGATGGTGGCGATGTCGCGGAACATCTGCTCCAGCTGCGTGTGCCGCTCCTTGTCCGACACCTGCAGCTCCCCTTTGGACAAAATCTGTTTTACCCACAGAAACCTGTTAGTGAACGTCCTGGATCTGAAGAGTGACAAGTTAAATTTGACAACTTTGAGTAACTTTGTTAAATTTGACAGCTGCTGGAAAGGTTGGGTGAGATTTGAAGTGCAGCAAGCAATAACCAAATTAATAATGTGAATCATTTCAACAGACGGCATTCGAAAGGCTTCAGACAAAAAAACTCATCCCAGAAACACCAAACAGCAGCAAGAGAAGCACAGATTTCACAGACACAGAATATCTTAAGCTGGAAGGACTCCTCAAGGACCACCCAGCCAAGCCCTGGCCCTGCATAAACATCCCAACAATCGACCCTGGGCATCCCTGGCAGCTCTGGCAGCCTCGGGGCTGTGCCCATACCCTGGGCAGTGCCAGCACCCTCTGGGGGAAGAACCTTTCCCAAAATCCAACCTGCCTTGGCCCAGCTCCAGCCCTTCCCTGGGTGCTGTCCCTGTCCCACAGAGCAGAGATGGGAGCTGTCCCTTGGGAGGAGCTGCAGACCCCAATGAGGTCTGACCTCAGTCTCCTCAGGCTGAACAGAACAAGTGCCCTCAGCTGCTCCTTGTGTGGCCCCTCCAGGCCCTTCAGCTTCTTTGTAGCTCTCTTTGGACTCTGACAGCTTCAGATCTCTCTTATATTGTGGCACCCAAAATTGCCCCAGAGCAGAGTAGGACAATCCTCTCCCTGGCCCAGCTGTTGATACTGGGCCTAGTGACCCCAGGAGAGAGATGTCCCTCCTGGCTGCCAGGGCAATGCTGACTCAAGAGATTTACTGAAATCCTATCAACCACAGCAAGTCCATAGTTCATATCTCACCAGAAAGGACTAAGATATTAGATCTGTTACTTACACCTAAGTGAGCTCTCCAAAGTAAGCAACTGTCCCCTTCTTTTCTCTGCATTCTTAATAACTTATCTTATTTGAGGAACTCCTCAGTGCTGGCTGTGTCCAGACACAACTGTGCATGCAAGTTGTGTGTTACACAGAATTCTTTCCAGCCACACATATATGCCAAATTTAAAACTATAAAACAGAGCTACAGCTCCTTTTTATCCATTTCTTAACAAGCAACACTTTCACCTATGGCAGCATTCTAGAAACACCCTTCAGTACAAACCAACCTAACTGCATGACTAAATCTTTTCACATCTTTTACAAAGCAAAGTGTGTGAAACCTACCATCTTACAGATTTCTGTCTGGTCATCTGTTCCAAATGCTTTAACCAGATCTTCCTTCTTTGCCACCTGGCCTTTGGAGACATTGACAAACACTGTGTGTGTCTGCAGGACCTCGTCGAGATCTTTCTCCCTAGAGATTAAGACAAACGTAGAAAACTCAGAATAATCCCAGAATGATGCCAGTGCCATGGCAGGGACACCTCCCACTGTCCCAGGCTGCTCCCAGCCCTGTCCAGCCTGGCCTTGGGCAGTGCCAGGGATCCAGGGGCAGCCCCAGCTGCTCTGGGCATCCTGTGCCAGGGCCTGCCCACCCTCACAGGGAACAATTCCTCATTCCCAATATCCCATCTATCCATCCCTGCCCTCTGTCAGAGTGAAACACTGCCCCTGGTCGGCGCACTCTCCAGAAAAGTAGCAATGCCAGGAGCCCAGCTGCGTTCAGCGAGGAGAGAGCGAGCTCCTGCTGTCCCATGCTGACTCAGCACAGCTGGAACCTTCCAGCACAGCGCTGTCGCTGCCCAGGCACGGGCACGGCGCTCCCGTTACCGGCCCCGCGCCTCCTCCCGGGGCCAGACCGGGGCCCGGGGCCGCGCACGATCCCCGGCCCCGCAGCCGGGTGCCGGCTCCCGGGTCACTGCCGACCCTCCTCCCACACCCCGGGCCCTTCCCGGTCCTCACACGAGCTCCCCTCCCGCGCCACTACCGAGTCCCCACACCGGGCGCCCGGTACGATCCCCTCACACCCGGGTCCCCACACGCACGGGCCCTGCCCCGGGGCCCACGCCGGGCCCGAGCCGCCTCCCCGCCGGCTCCCCGGGCACTCACGCTCCGCTGCGCCAGCCCATGACCTTGTTGCGGTAACAGGCGATCTCGAACCGCTTCCCGGCGCGCCGTGCCCGCACCACGGCCACATTGGTGAGGCGGATCTGGTTGGTGGGGGTGAAGATGGACATGGCGGCGGCCGCCCGCTCCGCCCCCGGCCCGGCCCGGCAGTGAATGGCGGCACGGGCGGAAGGGGCGGGAGCGGCGCATGGCGGCCTGAGGGGAGCCGGGCGGGGAGCGGGTCAGTGGCGGCGTGATGGCTGAGTGTGCGAGGGAGAGAGAGCCGTGATGGAGGGAACACAATAACCGTGTCCGTGGGGTAATAACTGTGTCCGGGGAGTGATAACCGTGAGGGGGAATATTATAACCGTGCTTGTGGGGTAATAACTGTGTGTATGGGCTGGTAACCGAGTTTGTGGGACAATAGTGTGTGTATGGGCTAATAACCGAGTTTGTGGGATAATAGTTTGTGTATGGTCTAATAACCCGAGTTTGTGGGGCAATAGTGCGTGTATGTGCTGGTAACCGAGTTTGTGGGATAATAGCGTGTGTATGGGCTAATATCCGAGTTTGTGGGATAATAACTCTGTGTATGGGCTGATAACCGAATTTGTTGGGATAATAGTGTGTGTATGGGCTAATATCCGAGTTTGTGGGATAATAACTCTGTGTATGGGCTGGTAACCGAATTTGTTGGGATAATAGTGTGTGTATGGGCTAATATCCGAGTTTGTGGGATAATAACTCTGTGTATGGGCTGGTAACCGAATTTGTTGGGATAATAGTGTGTGTATGGGCTAATATCCGAGTTTGTGGGATAATAGCGTGTATATGGGCTGGTAACCGAGTTTGTGGGATAATGGTGTGTGTATGGGCTGGTAACCGAATTTGTGGGATAATGGTGTGTGTATGGGCTAATATCCGAGTTTGTGGGATAATGGTGTGTGTATGGGCTGGTAACCGAATTTGTGGAACAATAACTGTGTGTATGGGCTGGTAACCGAGTTTGTGGGATAATAACTGTGTGTATGGGCTAATAACCGAGTTTGTGGGACAATGGTGTGTGTATGGGCTAATAACCGAGTTTGTGGGACAATAATGTTTGTGTGGGCTGGTAACCATGAGGGGATAGAACAGCCGTGTGTGTGAGTGGCTGTGACTGTGATCGGGTGCTGTGGAGGGAGATGAGGGCAATGACTGTGCGGGTATTTATTAACCATCAGTGGTGTAAGGGGGTAGGAACTCTGAGGTTGGGGGTGTTTAATTACTGTGAGGGTGTGGGATGATAACCCTGAGAGGCAGGGGAAGGTGGGGTAAAACCGTGGGGTATTTGGGGGAGAGAGGGGCATTAACTGCGAGAGGAGGAATAACCACGAGGGTGTGTGTGTGTATTTGTGGGGTGATAACCATTAGGGGGTGTGTAGTTGCATAGGGGATAATAATGAGCACGTGTGTGTGTGCCTGTTTTGGAGCTAAAATTCTCTTCAATATATGTAGCATCTATTGCATTTGAGGAAGTTGTATAGATGTTAAGGGAATCCCTATAGCTGGTTTGGGTAAAACTGGGAACACTGGGCAAGTGCTCTTGGCTCTTCTCTATTGTGAGTCTCGGTGTTGCTGCTGGAGGGCTGAAGGGCATCCCCTTAAGCCTTGGCTCTGGTAACTTGAGCACCAGCCTGTACAAGTTTCCAGCCTCTTGGAAATACTTGCATTCTGTGCTCTTGACTGATATCTGCAAAAACAAGATCCAAGCTGCAGATGACAGTAGAAGGGTGTTAGCTGCATTCCTCAGTCAATAAATATCACAAACCAGCCCTTTTGGAGTGCCTGAATATTCCATACGAAATAGATATTCGCAGACACCCTGCAGGTGCATTCCTGACTGTGCCCTGAGTGTTCTGAACCAACATGAAACATCTCAGTGGCTCCAAATCAAGCTTCACTTGCATCATAAAATTCTGTGAAAGTGTTTCCAGTTGAATCTGTGTTTCAGTCTGCCCTTGAAGCTCTGTTTGTAATCAGCGTGACATCAAATGTGTGTAAGTAAGGGTTGTGCTCAGCAGAAAGTTCTGTGCAGGTGATTTCCCCCTTGGACTGGAGCTTTCTCATTCCAGAGAACTGCATTTGTTGGGTTTGTGTGAAACTAAAGCTAGCATGATCCACTGGATGTTTCATGAGGACTTTTTCCTTTCAGGCACTTGGACAGTGCAAGTGTTTCCTGCTTTCCCTTGTAACAGAGCCCTGGAAAGGAAGAGCCCAAAGTTTCCCTCTGACAGTATGGAATGCTAGCTTGGAGCTCATCTGACACACCTGAGGAGGTAAAGGCTTTTTGATTTAATTTTAGTGCCTTGTCTTTAGCCAGATGCTGTTTTCTGCCAAGCCTGGGCAATAGCTGATAGTGTGAGGCTGTGGGTACTGTGGGATTACTTTGTGTGTGCTCATTCCATACTCACTCTGTAGGAACCTGTGACATTCCAGGTTTAGATGTCTCAATGGATATGTGGAGCTACTTCCATACTTGCCTGGTGTCCATATGGCTGCACAGATTGTACATCTATTCTGCTGTGGCACTTGGGATCAGCCTTTGGATTGTCATTCACTTCACCACCACCAGAACCAAAAAGAAGGTAACTGAGCCTGTCAGCACTTCTCTCTGAGAGACCCCAAAAACCTGGGTGGGAGTGAGTAGTTACTGGATAAAGGCACTGGCTGTGGGCCAGCTGAGGGTGTTGCAAATCCCAAATGCAGTTTGGTTATCTGGTTATGATCCTCAGCCTGGCTTGTTTTTGTCTGTGGGTCACTGAATGCTCTTGTTGCTGTGATGTTGGGGCAGAGCTCAGCAGGATACACCTCACACTGTTCCCCCTGGATTGCTCTGTCACTCCAGGTAAACCCCTCTGCTTGTGCCCAGGGTTTGCACCTTCATGTTCTCATGATGCTCGTGACAGGCTTGGGCTGGTTTTGGGATGGGAGGGAATTGGGCCATTCAGGAGTTGAAAACCTCCTCCTGCAGGTGGGTAAAGATCTGCTGCAGGACTTGGGAGGTTCAGCTGATCCTGTTACCTCCTGGACAAGTGGGTGTTGTAGCATGGCTTAGTCAGGAACACAGGTCCTGGTGTGTTTGTCTGGGTGTGAGAGGAACCAGAATGCTTTGACTGTTGCTGAGAGTGGCCCCAGGATTTGAGTTTTAAATGCTCTTGGTTTGGCAGCCCTTGGAGAAGGGTGAGCAATCCCATGGGAGTCCCTCTGCCCCTGAGGGAACATCAGACAAGCTGGGGAATGGATGTGCCCCCCGTCAGGCACAGAGGATCCATGTTGCTGGAGTGAAGATCTTCTATGGCTCTCAGACTGGCACAGCAAAGGTATCTGTACTTTTGTTGCACAGCTGTGAAATTGCTTTGAAATATTGTTGGGATATGACAACGCTGCTTGCCTTAAAACACTGTCCTGGGTACAGATCTGGGAGTTCATCAGCACATTCATTACCTTCTTGCAATCATTGCCCAACATGCAAGATGAGTGAAAAATTAAATAAAAATAACAATTTTCTTTCTCCCTTTAAGCAAGGCATGCAGTAGAGATTGATTATAAAACTAGAAGTTCACTCCTGCACTATAATTGTAATTTTCTAGCAAGGCTTTATGGCTTTATAGAGAGAAGTGCTGGGTTTGGTGCTTTCTCATGAAGAAATGTAATTTGTGTGTGTAACTATGACATTATAATGTTGGAACTCTCAGCCAGTGTACTCCATCTTTGCTTTAATGTGAGGAATGGCAGTGCCAGTGTCCAGGCCCCCTGTGTCATTATTCTTCCTGTGCTGGGAGAAGTCTCGTGGCTGAGCACAGCAGGGCTCGTGGGGCTTGAAGTAATTGATACCTTCCAATGTTTCTTTGTTCAGAGATTTGCCAAAGCTCTGGCTGAAGCTGTTTTTTCCCTTAATTTGCCTGTGGAAGTCATTAACATGGAAGACTATGATCCAGAAGATGGTTTAGTGGAGGAGGTGGGTATGGCATAAACACCAATAACAAGTACTAATTTTTCCTGGGGTTGTCAAGGCTATTTCCCTCTTGTATTTCTCTCCTGTTGTTCTGGAAATCCCCAAAGCTTTGTGTTGAATTGCTTCCCTACCTTTGCAAACGTAGCCCATCAGCCCTCAGCAGAAAATGTCTATATTTTGAGAATTTCAAAGCATCAGTTGGACATTTTGCTGTGACAGTGACTCTGTATGAGCCAGTTCTGTAACTCAGGGGTGAGCTGGGTAAGAGTGGGTGCCCCAGGTGCTCTGTACACCTGGGCAAGGTTCAGAACCAGAACAGCAAGGTGGTGATGCCTCTGCAGCCTTTAGAGGCTTTCAAGATAGAAACTCCTGGTGAAGTGTAGTAATTTATATGATATAGTAGTATAGTGTAGAAATTTATATTTATATATTTAGGTGTAGTAATCCTTGATGGGTTGTTTCTTCTGTGATTATTGATAGATGCTCCTCGAGAGTTTTAATTAATCCTAACTAAAAGTTTTGGTGGAAACTGAATGCTGGGAATTCCTTCAGGTGTCAGTACAAATTGCCAGCATCTGATACTGCCCCTAACAGAACTGTAAATGTGAGGTTGAGGAGTCTGAAATATTTATCCATGGGGCACTTCCCTGATGAAGGAGTTGGGTCAGGAAGCTGCTAGTGGGGCTGGATGTCTGGGTTTGCTCTGTCACTGTGTCCCTGTTCAGCCTGATCTCTCTCTGCTAATTTCAGGTGCTGTGCAGATTGTTCAGCACCCTTGGGATTGTCACCTGCACCATCCACCCCAGCACCCCAGCCTTGCCTTTTGATTCTCCCAGCTGCCTGGGTGTTGCAACTCTTTGCTTTAGGAGAAGGTCCTGGAAAATGCAGTGATTTCTTTTTTTCCCCTCCTGTCCTGTTTGTGTGAGCAGACAAGCAGCAGGAACATCTGTGTGTTCCTGGTGGCCACCTACACCGAGGGGCAGCCCCCAGAGAGCGCAGTGTGGTTCTGCAAGTGGCTGGAAGAGGCAGCCAATGATTTCCGTGTTGGGAAGAGCTTCCTGCAGGGCCTGAGATACGCCGTGTTCGGGCTGGGCAACTCGGCCTACGTGGATCACTTCAACACAGTGAGTGTCCCTGCTTGGCCTCTGCTCCTCAGAGCTCAGCTGCATGCAGGCCATCCAGCCTCAATGAGCCTGCTGCTCTGGGTGGGATTGCAGCTGTTGTGCTGACTGGGTGAGGTGCTGGGTTTAGGGCATGGGCAGAGTCTCAGAGCTACTGAGCTGGGAAAAAACCTCCAAGATCACTGAACCCACTGTGTGCCCAATCCCCACCTTGTCCCCAGCCCAGAGCACCGAGTGCCACCTCCAGCCCTTCCCTGGGCACCTCCAGGGATGGGCACTCCAAACCTCCCTGGGCAGCCCCTGGCAGTGCTGAGCCCCCTTTCCATGGGGAAATTCCTGCTGCTGTCCCCCCTGAGCTGCCCTGGCCCAGCCTGAGGCCGTTCCCTCTGCTCCTGTCCCTGTTCCCTGGAGCACAGCCCGACCCCCCCGGCTGTGCCCTCCTGTCAGGAGCTGTGCAGAGCCACAAGGGCCCCCTGAGCCTCCTTTGCTCCAGGCTGAGCCCCTGCCCAGCTCCCTCAGCCCCTCCTGGGGCTCCAGACCCTTCCCAGCTCTGTTCCCTTCCCTGGACACCACCTTGCTGTCTTCCTTGGGGTGAGGGGCCCAAAACTGCCCCAGCACTGGAGGTGCCTGAGCAGTGCCAGCACAGGGGACAGTCACTGCTCTGGTCCTGCTGCCACACCAGTGCTGGTACAAGCCAGTGCCATTGGCCTTCTTGGCCACCTGGGCAGTTCAGCTTTGAAGCAATTGGATTTCAAATGGGAAATGAGTCCCACAGGCACTGGGAGATGTTGTAACACATTTGGTAAATCCTTACTGAGTTCATTTCCTAGCTTTGAAAGCTTTCTGCAGTCACCTGAGGGCACAGCACTGTAAACTCTTGCTGCCTTCTAAATGTGGCTCCTTGTTATGATGTGGGTTCTAGCTTTATTCCCTGATGTGAGCTGTGTCAGAATCTCTGCCTGGTCGTTGTTCTCATCTCACACAGAAAAATGGCATCACTTGTCACAGGTTGTGTTCAGAGCTGGGGCTGTGTGTCACACATGTGACTGTTCTGACCAGCAAGCACCACACAGAGCAGTCTGTTCCCAGAGCCCCTCCCTTCAGCCCAGGGGTGGCAGAGGGATTTCCCAGTGCAGTCTGAGGGGCTGTGGTGCTGGTCAGGCTGCCCTGGGTCTGTGCAGAGCCAGCACCTGAGAGGGACTCCCCAGGTCCCTGCCCTGCCGTGCTGTGCAGCTCTCTGGCTCTTCCCAGGGCTGATCCTTGCTTTTCTGGTTGGCTGCTTGCACTTGGCCCTGGTTTAATTTCCTTTCCAACCCTTGCTCCTGGCCTAGGTTGCCAGGAGGATGGACAGGTGGCTGTGGATGCTCAGTGCCAGCAGGATCATGGCTCGGGCTGAGGGGGACTGCAATGTGGCCCAGAGCAAGCACGGCAGCATTGAGGCTGACTTTGAGGCCTGGAAGGACAAATTCCTCACTCGGCTCAGGGCACTCTGCAGGGGGGAGAAGAAGCCCTGCAGGGGGAAATGCAAGAAGGGGAAGTGCAAAACTCCAGGGAAGCAGAGCAAGGAGAGCTCGGACCGTGAACGTGGGACGTCAGAGCAGGACGATACTGAGGTACAGCCAAAATCCTTGAGGCCTTATTTTATTGGGAGCACTGTTTGACTTCTCCCCTTCTTCCTGCAGTCCAGAGGGCTGCTGTGGGAGCCTGGTACGTGTTCTGGAGCAGGGGAGAGGAGAGCTGATATCCCATGGCAATAACAAGTAGAACAAGCCATCTGAAAGAAGGACCAAAGAGTTAGTGATAGAGCCAGGCTCGATGGCATTTGTGTGATGAGGGAGTCCTGCTCCTGGCTGGGGACAGATGCTCCAGGGAGCCAGGCTGAGTTCTCAGCAGAGCCTTTGTCCCAAGGCCAAGGGGACCCTTCAGTTCCCTGTGAGTCATTAACCTGCTTCCACTTCAACCCCGTGAAGCTCAGCTGCTCTGCCTGTATCCCAGGGTTTTCCAAAGGCAGCTCTGGGGTGTGTTACCTGAGCAGGTCCTGTATGTCCTTTGTGAGTGTCTGCCTGTAATCATTTCTCTCTTCTGGAGTGTTTATTGATTGCAGATTTTGACTAAGAAATCCTCTCTATTGCTCTCCAGTGCAAGACCCAGAGCTGCTGTGGCACTTTAATCCTCCCTTGAGCCATACACTGTGGGAGTTATTGCTGGGTTGAATTTTATAGGAAAGTAAGTGGTTCTTCTGGCTGGGTTTGGGAGTGCTGGCTGCTGCAGAGCAGGAGGAATAAATCTCACTGTCAGCAGGGCTCTTGGGTTTAAAGGGGTTCAGGGTTCCAAATCCATCCTACAGGTTTTTGGTAGGCTATTGCTTGTTTTGAGTGGTCTTTACTGATGAGGAGAGCTCATTTCACTGGTTGGCTTAGTCTTACATTTAACAGTGAGATGAATTCTTAATTTTTTCCTCTGCTTTCTCCCACAGGGAGAAGAATTGTTTGAAACTGGTAGTGAGGAGGAAGCTGGAGACACAAATTCTGTCATTGATGTTGAAGATCTTGGCAATATCATGGGCCACATGAAGAAAGCAAAGGTACTGCTGCTAGAGGGGGCATGGCATGGTCAGGTCTTGTTCACTGAGCAGCTGGATTGATTAAAACATAACTGGCTGGATTTGAATCCATGGGGTTTGGTTAGAGGGAGAGTAAAATATGAGCCATTGAAGAACCTGTCCCCAAAAAGAACATCTTTGGAGGAGTGTTGGATGTAGTCACAGGCTGACTCTGTAGCTTGCTCACCAAGCAAATGCTGCACTGATAACCTGTGACTTCCAGTCTGAGGGAAGATCTGCTTGCAGAGCTAACTCTGAATCTGGCTGCAAATCTCTGCACTGAGATTCCCAGTGGCTGAACACAGGTCCTGTTCCTGTAGTGCCCGTGGGTTGTCACTGAAATGCAGGTGTGAGTGAGGACAGGGGCAGAGCTGCAGGTGCAGCAGGAACACCCAGCTGCCAGAGCACGTTGCCTTGCTCACTGCTGCCCTAGGGTGAGGTTTGTGCTTCAGACACTGGGCCTGTCACACAGCCCCAGCTCCTGCTCCATCCCAGGCTCTTGCTGGGTGTGTTCCCAGTGCTTCTCTTGGTGTCCCTTTCCTGTGCTCAGTCTGAGCTGGGATGTGTCACACTCCCCTCACTCACACCAAGCCTTGGGGACAGGGAGCAGCTGCAGGGCCCTGCTGTGCTGCCCAGTCTTTGCTGGCTGAGCAGTTGTTGGTCAGGTGGGGAAGGGTGGCCTGTGGTGTGCTCTGAGCCCATCTGCTGACCCCCTTTGCTCTCAGTGCCCTTTGCTGTCATTGTGCACCCTTGAGCTGCTGTCCATGCCCTTCTCACCAAGCTGACTCTGTAGTGACACACATGGTGTGTTCCTAACCCTGGGTGTGTCTGCACTGTGGGGTTTTCACAGCTCTTTTCCAACATGGGGCCCTGGCACAGGGTGCCCAGAGCAGCTGTGGCTGCCCCTGGATCCCTGGCAGGCCAGGCTGGATGGGGTTGGAGCAGCCTGGGACAGTGGAAGGTGTCCCTGCCTATGGAATGAGATGGTCTCAGGTCCCTGCCAATCCAAACTGCTCTGTGACTGTGTGAAAATACAGCAATGTCCTTGTGCTCTGAGCTGAGGTGGCATTGCTGGGCTCCCTGGAGGCAGGCTGTGCTCACAGAGGGGTGCTTGCAGAGCAGGAGCTTACAAGGGGATCTCTGTTGGTGCTCTCAGGGAGGGGAAGGAGGTGAATCCAACGCTGCTGTTTGTAGGCAGCTCTGTGAGGAGAGGAGCACCCGCGATGGGGCAAGGCTGTCAGAGGGATTGCCTGTGCACTGCAGCTCGTCAGGGAAGGCTGGGCAGCCTTTGGCTTCCCTTCGGAGGGAGAAAGGACCGCAGTTCCTCACGGCGAGCATTAACACTGTTCTGTCTCCTCTCTCCTGCGCTCGCCACTAGAGGTCAGCGGCCCAAAGGGAGCGGGGTGCCGCGGCAGCTCCGGGGCCGTGGTGACAGCCAGCGCTCCTGTGAAGAACTGGCACTGAGCTTTCCCTGACTGACAGAATATAGCAGCATCGTGGTCGAGGAGCAGTGTAACCCAGGAAAAGCACGTATCATAGGCCAGTTTACAAATAAAATGTGAGCACAGCAATAAAATACTTTCTGCTGTTCACTGGCAGAAGTCAGTGCTGAGGTCAGTGTGGTGTGGGTTTGTGCACAGGCAGAGCAAGTTCACTGCTGTCTGTGCCTTGGCTGAGGCAGGAGCCAAACTGATTTATCTTCAGCCTTCCTGGTGCTGTGCTGGAGCAGGGAGAGTGCTGGATGTGCTTGTGTTCTGCAGTAACTGTGACTCAGGGTGCTGTGGCCCAAGTGCCACCCTGGTCAGAGGGGCAGCTGCTGCCTGGGCACAGACACTCCCCTGGGGCTGGAACCTGCAGGTGTTGATCCTTTGAGCCTTTTCCTTGGAGAAGCTGGCAGAGCTGTTCTGCTGTAGAGTTGAGCTCTGCTCTCCTGCAGAGGATCAAATCCTGAGGGGGCAAGTGTTGGTGTGGGCCTGAGAGCTCTGAGTGTGCATAAGGGCACCTCTGTTGAAGTCCCATCCCCTTTGTAGGCTCTGAGAGGTTTCCTGTACCAGGTGGGTGGTTCTGCCTTTGGCCTTTTTAGCCATTTTCCTCTCATGGCATGCTGGGCTGTGTGATGGGTGTGACACTGTTTCTTTGACCTGACCTGTTGTCCTGCAGGACTCCTTGCCCACACAGCCAAGTGCTCTGGGATCTGAACTGCTCACACACAGGTGAGCAAGCCTGAGAGGAACTTGGGTATCTGAAGGGTTATGTCACAGACAGTTCTTCCTCCTCTCAGAGTTCCTTGGGTCTGGAATGTGCTTGACACTTCCCAGCAGGAGTTCAATGTGTGTCATTGTTGGGTATTCACCCCTCTGCCTATGGGATGTGGAGCAGCAGGTTCTGCCTTGTGCATTGTAGTTAATCTGAAATGGTTTTGGGTCCAGCTTTCATCTCTTGTGCATGGATTGGCTCTTGTGAAGGTCACCAGCAGGTAAGGCAGGCACAGATAGTCAGAATTCCTTATTGTCCTGCCTTTTCTGGGATGAGGCTGTGGGGGATCTAATAAATCCTTGCTCACATCTCTGCTGGTCATCTTCATTTCATTTTGCATCTCTCTTTTGTTGTTTGCCTTGACAGAAATCAAGGCTGAGATTTGTTTTACAGCTTTCCCCCCCATATTCTGCAGGTTTGTAAGGTAGTGTCAAGGGGCTTGAAGCAGGTGCTGGGTTCCTGCAGCCACTCTGACCAGGCAGAAGGGTTCAGGAGTTCCAGGGCAATGCCACAACCTCTCTGCCAGGTTGAATTATAGCTATTACAGACTGAGCTAGAGAAGAGATGGGTTTTTGAAGAGCTGCTGAGTGTGAAGTTTCACAGTTCATGGTGATGGTGCCTTCTGCACACTGAGTGTGAGCCCAAACTGACACAGGGTTGGGTAGATATTGGTAATATATTCAAGTATATTAATTGGTGTTAATATACTTCAACAGCAAATTCCATGTCAGTTTACGAACTCTCGTAATATGTGCTGATGGTTTTTAATGCATTTAAGAATGAGGTGGACTTTGGAGTTTTGCAGTTGTGGCACACTTTGCCTTTCCTGCAGAGTTCTTCCCTGATGTGGATTTGTCAGGGAAAGTGAACTCTGAGGGTGTTTGTGGCCTGCAAGGTGCCATTAATCTCAGGGACACCAGTTCTTAGTGTGGATTATCTCCCCCAGCTGGGAGATCAGCTGGAAGGACAGATCCATCTACACTCATTGCCAGGGAATGGAATGACTTTATTAACCTTCACATTTCTAAACTTCAGCCATGAGTAATAGCAGTAATAATGTCCTGATTCCTTGTTTGATGGGCTTGGAGGCAATCAAATGAGCATATTTGCTGATGCAATTTTGAGATGAATGCTCATGTTTTCTACAACAAGCAGTGTAATGATGCTGACAGGCTATTTGCAATGTAGAGACAGGGGTTGATAGGAACACACTGAGAGTTTCCAGGAACGAACCCCTGCCCCAGAGTGTTCAGTTTGTGTCCCTCTGTGTCCCCTGGTCCCTGAAAAGTCACCCTGGGTTAGCCAGTGTGAATCTCAGGAGCCTGGGGCTGCTGTGGGAGCCCAAACCTTGCAGCCCTGGGGGAGGGAACTCCTGAGGGAGCTGGGTTTGGTTGGGGTGGGACAGTGGGCAATGGGGTATTTGAGGCCTAAGGTTTACACACCAAGGGTCATGTGCAACTTTGTGCTACAGCTAGGAACTTTTTAAAGGAGGAAGGAATAGTCAGTGATGTGTTAACCAAATGGAACAAAATTTGAGTATGTAACTTTCAGACAGATCCAAAAGCTTCAGCTTTTAATGGGTGGAGGATTCCTTTATGAAAAATGTGCCCTTGTCTGCAGCAGCTGCTCTGGGCCAGATTCTGACCTGTGCTACTCTGGCTCACAATTCAGTGTGAGTCTCCATTTTAAAATGAGCTTTAAGAAATTAAATTCAACTTCTTGGGGACTACTTCTGCCATTAACAGCAGGGTTTGCCATAGGGACACTTCACCCTTCTCCTTTCCTGGGTTCAAGTCTTTTTTCTCTGAACCCTGGCTAATGGAAAGAATTACAATTGCTAAACAGAATTACAAGAGATCTTGAGGCATTTTCTGAGTAAGGCTTGTGGCTGATAAAAGGGAAAAAAGAACCCCAAAATAACTTTAATGTAACCTTTGTCTGGGTGTGCAATCTGCAGGCTCTGACATGTGCTGTGCAGTGACTTCCTTGGTAAAGGCATTTGAGAGCTCTCAGTGTTTGTTTGCAGCCTTTTCCTGACCACAGGAAAAGGAGAGGGTCAGGACTGACTCTGCAGCAGCCCAGCCCTCCTGCTCACCATTTCTCACCAACTTTGTGCTCCATTTCTCAGGTAGTTTTCTTTTTGCTGTGCATTTTTAAAGTTTCCTGCTTGTCTAATGACAGATTTGAGCAGATTTCCTGAACTTCTACAAATCAAAGCAGCAGAGCCTCTCTGCTCTGGAGCCAGGCTGGGACACCCAGGGGTGCTCACCTGGAGAGGAGAAGCTCCAGGGAGAGCTCAGAGTCCCTGGCAGGGCCTGAAGGGGCTCCAGGAGAGCTGGAGAGGGACTGGGGACAGGGAATGGAGGGACAGGACACAGGCAATGGCTCCCAGTGCCAGAGGGCAGGGCTGGATGGGATATTGGGAATGAGGAATTGTTCCCTGTGAGGGTGGGCAGGCCCTGGCACAGGGTGCCCAGAGCAGCTGTGGCTGCCCCTGGATCCCTGGCAGTGCCCAAGGCCAGGCTGGGCATTGGGAGCAGCCTGGGACAGTGGGAGGTGTCCCTGCCATGGAGGGGTGGCACTGGATGGGGTTTAACATCCCTTCCAACCCAAACTATTTCAGATTTCTGTGGTTTTTTGACCACTTGAAAAATTGCCATTGAAACAAAATGTTCTTTTAGTCTTGAACTCATGGAAAAGAAATAAATAGAGTGGAGAAGTCTTTA